AAGAGATGCGAAGAACTTTTGACAGGCAAAGTGCAATATTGATAGGTGATTGCACTTTGCCTGTCACATACATCTCGACAGAGGCAACATTCGATATGAAAGTTTCCTCTGTCGAGAAACTTCCTCACACCTCAAGAGATGCGAAGAACTTTTGACAGGCAAAGTGCAATATTGATAGGTGATTGCACTTTGCCTGTCACATACATCTCGACAGAGGCAACATTCGATATGAAAGTTTCCTCTGTCGAGAAACTTCCTCACACCTCAAGAGATGCGAAGAACTTTTGACAGGCAAAGTGCAATATTGATAGGTGATTGCACTTTGCCTGTCACATACATCTCGACAGAGGCAACATTCGATATGAAAGTTTCCTCTGTCGAGAAACTTCCTCACACCTCAAGAGATGCGAAGAACTTTTGACAGGCAAAGTGCAATATTGATAGGTGATTGCACTTTGCCTGTCACATACATCTCGACAGAGGCAACATTCGATATGAAAGTTTCCTCTGTCGAGAAACTTCCTCACACCTCAAGAGATGCGAAGAACTTTTGACAGGCAAAGTGCAATATTGATAGGTGATTGCACTTTGCCTGTCACATACATCTCGACAGAGGCAACATTCGATATGAAAGTTTCCTCTGTCGAGAAACTTCCTCACACCTCAAGAGATGCGAAGAACTTTTGACAGGCAAAGTGCAATATTGATAGGTGATTGCACTTTGCCTGTCACATACATCTCGACAGAGGCAACATTCGATATGAAAGTTTCCTCTGTCGAGAAACTTCCTCACACCTCAAGAGATGCGAAGAACTTTTGACAGGCAAAGTGCAATATTGATAGGTGATTGCACTTTGCCTGTCACATACATCTCGACAGAGGCAACATTCGATATGAAAGTTTCCTCTGTCGAGAAACTTCCTCACACCTCAAGAGATGCGAAGAACTTTTGACAGGCAAAGTGCAATATTGATAGGTGATTGCACTTTGCCTGTCACATACATCTCGACAGAGGCAACATTCGATATGAAAGTTTCCTCTGTCGAGAAACTTCCTCACACCTCAAGAGATGCGAAGAACTTTTGACAGGCAAAGTGCAATATTGATAGGTGATTGCACTTTGCCTGTCACATACATCTCGACAGAGGCAACATTCGATATGAAAGTTTCCTCTGTCGAGAAACTTCCTCACACCTCAAGAGATGCGAAGAACTTTTGACAGGCAAAGTGCAATATTGATAGGTGATTGCACTTTGCCTGTCACATACATCTCGACAGAGGCAACATTCGATATGAAAGTTTCCTCTGTCGAGAAACTTCCTCACACCTCAAGAGATGCGAAGAACTTTTGACAGGCAAAGTGCAATATTGATAGGTGATTGCACTTTGCCTGTCACATACATCTCGACAGAGGCAACATTCGATATGAAAGTTTCCTCTGTCGAGAAACTTCCTCACACCTCAAGAGATGCGAAGAACTTTTGACAGGCAAAGTGCAATATTGATAGGTGATTGCACTTTGCCTGTCACATACATCTCGACAGAGGCAACATTCGATATGAAAGTTTCCTCTGTCGAGAAACTTCCTCACACCTCAAGAGATGCGAAGAACTTTTGACAGGCAAAGTGCAATATTGATAGGTGATTGCACTTTGCCTGTCACATACATCTCGACAGAGGCAACATTCGATATGAAAGTTTCCTCTGTCGAGAAACTTCCTCACACCTCAAGAGATGCGAAGAACTTTTGACAGGCAAAGTGCAATATTGATAGGTGATTGCACTTTGCCTGTCACATACATCTCGACAGAGGCAACATTCGATATGAAAGTTTCCTCTGTCGAGAAACTTCCTCACACCTCAAGAGATGCGAAGAACTTTTGACAGGCAAAGTGCAATATTGATAGGTGATTGCACTTTGCCTGTCACATACATCTCGACAGAGGCAACATTCGATATGAAAGTTTCCTCTGTCGAGAAACTTCCTCACACCTCAAGAGATGCGAAGAACTTTTGACAGGCAAAGTGCAATATTGATAGGTGATTGCACTTTGCCTGTCACATACATCTCGACAGAGGCAACATTCGATATGAAAGTTTCCTCTGTCGAGAAACTTCCTCACACCTCAAGAGATGCGAAGAACTTTTGACAGGCAAAGTGCAATATTGATAGGTGATTGCACTTTGCCTGTCACATACATCTCGACAGAGGCAACATTCGATATGAAAGTTTCCTCTGTCGAGAAACTTCCTCACACCTCAAGAGATGCGAAGAACTTTTGACAGGCAAAGTGCAATATTGATAGGTGATTGCACTTTGCCTGTCACATACATCTCGACAGAGGCAACATTCGATATGAAAGTTTCCTCTGTCGAGAAACTTCCTCACACCTCAAGAGATGCGAAGAACTTTTGACAGGCAAAGTGCAATATTGATAGGTGATTGCACTTTGCCTGTCACATACATCTCGACAGAGGCAACATTCGATATGAAAGTTTCCTCTGTCGAGAAACTTCCTCACACCTCAAGAGATGCGAAGAACTTTTGACAGGCAAAGTGCAATATTGATAGGTGATTGCACTTTGCCTGTCACATACATCTCGACAGAGGCAACATTCGATATGAAAGTTTCCTCTGTCGAGAAACTTCCTCACACCTCAAGAGATGCGAAGAACTTTTGACAGGCAAAGTGCAATATTGATAGGTGATTGCACTTTGCCTGTCACATACATCTCGACAGAGGCAACATTCGATATGAAAGTTTCCTCTGTCGAGAAACTTCCTCACACCTCAAGAGATGCGAAGAACTTTTGACAGGCAAAGTGCAATATTGATAGGTGATTGCACTTTGCCTGTCACATACATCTCGACAGAGGCAACATTCGATATGAAAGTTTCCTCTGTCGAGAAACTTCCTCACACCTCAAGAGATGCGAAGAACTTTTGACAGGCAAAGTGCAATATTGATAGGTGATTGCACTTTGCCTGTCACATACATCTCGACAGAGGCAACATTCGATATGAAAGTTTCCTCTGTCGAGAAACTTCCTCACACCTCAAGAGATGCGAAGAACTTTTGACAGGCAAAGTGCAATATTGATAGGTGATTGCACTTTGCCTGTCACATACATCTCGACAGAGGCAACATTGCGATATGAAAGTTTCCTCTGTCGAGAAACTTCCTCACACCTCAAGAGATTGCGAAGAGAACTTTTGACAGGCAAAGTGCAATATTGATATGTGATTGCACTTTGCCTGCTACATACATTCTCAGACAGAGGCAAACATCGATAGAAAGGTTTCTCTGTCGAGAAACTTCCTCACACCTCAAGAGATGGACGAAGGAAACTTGTGACAGGCCAAAGTGCAATATTGATAGGTGATGCCACTTTGGCCTGTCACATTACATCTCGACAGAGGCAACATTCGATATGAAAGTTTCCTCTGTCGAGAACTTCCTCACACCTTCAAGAGATGCGAAGAACTTTTGACAGGCCAAAGTGGCAATATGATAGGTAGATTGCACTTTCCTGTCACATACATCTCGACAGAGGCAACATTCGATATGAAAGTTTCCTTCTGGTCGAGAAACTTCCTCACACCTCAAGAGATGCGAAGAACTTTGAACAGGCAAAGTGGCAATATTGATTAGGTGATTGCAACTTTTGCCTGTCACATACATTCTCGACAAGAGGCAACATTTCGATATTGAAAGTTTCCTCTGTCGAGAAACTTCCTCACACCTCAAGAGATGCGGTAAGAACTTTTGGACAGGGCAAAGTGGCAATTGATAGGTGATTGCACTTGCCTGTCACATACATCTCGACAGAGGCAAACATTCGATATGAAAGTTCCTCTGTCGAGAAACTTCCTCACACCTCAAGAGATGCGAAGAACTTTTGACAGGCAAAGTGCAAATATTGTAGAGTGATGTGCACGTTTTGCCTGTCACATATCATCTCGACAAGGCAACATCGATATATGAAAGTTCCTCTGTCGAGAAACTTCCTCGAAACTCCAATTTTTCTTTTAGAACTACAATATCTTAACAATTAGCTCATCAAAAACACAACCTATAAACTTTAATTTACTTTTGTTTTTTTCAATATATGAACTAAATTTTTTTTTTTCAAATTACTCCACCACTGGGAAAAGTATTTAATCAGATGTTGCCAGCCTCTTCATCATTGCATTAACAAGTCTTTGACTCAGAGGTTGCCAGCCTCTTCATCATTGCATTAACAATGCTTTGACTCAGAGGTTGCCAGCCTCTTCATCATTGCATTAACAAGTGCTTTGACTCAGAGGTTGCCAGCCTCTTCATCATTGCATTAACAAGTGCTTTGACTCAGAGGTTGCCAGCCTCTTCATCATTGCATTAACAAGTGCTTTGACTCAGAGGTTGCCAGCCTCTTCATCATTGCATTAACAAGTGCTTTGACTCAGAGGTTGCCAGCCTCTTCATCATTGTAAAAATGTATTACCGCTTTTTTTTTAAATTCAATCGTAACATCTCAATTATCCCGCCAAAAATTATTGGGTCTAAATTGTTTTTATTATTATTATTTTCAGAAACAAACTAACTTGTTTTTTAGGAATTTATCATTCATAAAGTCTTTATGATATATTTCAACTTATAATGAATATGAAATTATAATTGTATTTTTTGAAAAAAAATTATTCATGATCAATTCATGATTTAACCAGTTCCTTCAAATTAGGAGAGCATATTCAAATATAATCGCTCATTAAAATCAATTTTTATATTTTTTTTTAAATCGAAATTATCTCATCATAAACCATGCAAACTGACTATTTGTTCTTATCACCATGTTACCAATATCAGAATTGTCTTTACAGCCAAAATTTCGCTCGATAAAAGTCCATCCAATAGTGAGATAATTGAGCAACTAACATTTTTCCATATCACAAAAAACCTCCGCCATGTAATTTTGAAAATTCCGAAATTCATATAGAAAATACAATTTACGGAGCAATTATGGAAAACAATCTTGAACTATTCATCTCATTCACACAAAGAGAAGGATTTGATAAGGATAAAAAAATTCAAAGCAGATTATATCCAGACTCTTATAATAATTATTCATTACTTGAAATATGTTGCTATTATGGAGCAGCTGATTGTTTCAAGTTATTAAGATCAGAATTTAACTCGAAAATAACACAAAAATGTTTAGAGTTTTCATTTTTAAGAGGAAATCCAGAGTAGAGATGTGAAAACTTAAATTTTATAATCCCTGGGATGCACTTTCTTCGATTTTTTTAAAATTTTTGGGATAAATTTTGACATCTTTTTTTTTTGCTGGCGACCCCCCACCCGTTCACAAAAAAAAATATCGAGCGAAGGGGGGTCCCAGCAAAAATCGAAAATTTTTTTGTGTAACGGGGGGTCGCCAGCGAGAACCTTAAAAATAAACTTCAGAAAAAAAATCTAAAAGAAAAAAACGAAAAGGCCCTGGGTCGAACTGGGAACTTTAAGGCTTATACTATGACTCTTACCACTGAACTATATTATCTGTGGATCGGTGCTTTATAAATTGTAAATATAAAGATTATCATAACGAATTAAAATATAAAATAATAAATATTACTCTTATATATTATTAGATTTTAAGGATACCCTTACATTGCGTAGTTAGAAAGAGAATATGATATTGTCATGATTGCTAAAGTTTTAGGCTCCAGAAATGAATATACATCAAACTGAAACAATTGATAAATTGAATGAACTTTTGAGAGGTTCTCAAATAAAAAAAATATCTAATTTTTACAATATTACTATTATTATCCACATATGTATATATAGTAATTTGAGAAAACTTTTAGGAAAAAATAAGTTTAATAAAAATCTGAATTTTACTTGTTGTGGGATTGTTATTAATTGACACTCCAGACGTATTACTAATAGTTATGCGTATGCAATTAAAGTATTTCTGATGGACAAAATGTGAGATTTATATCAGATAATTCATTTCTACTATTAAGTTATTCATTTATGAGTTTGCACTTATTCGCACTAAATAAATAACTATTAAAAATTGTTTTAATTAATTGACACCATATAATAGAGTGAATTTGTTTGATCAAACAACAATAGATGATAGATATAAAGCCAAGAAACTTGCTATTAATATGCTCTACTTGCTATTCAATGTAAGTATGATATTTTCTAAATGTTTCGTTCAGATAACTTAGATATATTAGTCAAAATTTGAAATTTTAATAGCACATATATTAAAAATAATATATATTCATAAAAGATTAATGAAATAGTAAAAAAATCAATCAAATTATAAAAATACAACATTTAGAAGAATTCTTATTATCCTTCAAAAAGTCAGTATTTCTGCTGTAATTTTCTACAACATTGTAGTTATTGCACTTTGTCTATGGATTTGTATATATGTTATATATAAATTATATATCTAAACTGCCCATAGTGCAATTTTTATATAAATTGTTTATTTCTTAACAATTTCATATGAATTATGCTTTTTTAAGCGTATCAAAGCTGTGTTCTTAATGTGCATGGATATATCAAGAAAAATGTCGAAAAAAAATGTGAATTCACAAATTCACTGAATTTTCACCGTTTTTTGAATTTTGCTACAGCACTAATATTAAATAATACTAAAATCTTCTGTCTTTGTAAAAGAATAAATTCTGACAAAAAGTGCTCGTTTAAATTTAATGATCATCTGTATGACTAAGTGGTAAAAAAGTGTTTATGACCAAAAAGGGTTACATGCTTAGTCTATTTTTCTGACAGGATACTCTAGATTTACATGATCTCTATTTCATATCTCCGTTTTTAGATTCTTCGACAGATTTATGATAGAAAAACCAAGTTAACAAATTTCCGGCATGTTAATGAAGAAATCTACAGCTACCCTCAATATTATTTCAATAATCAGTATCGTTTCTCTTACAATTTATTTTTTCTCAATAATTTGACAAGAAATAAACAATACACACTTGGTTTTACGTATAAAAGCTAAGTGTCGAACTTAATCAACTTTACTTACTTAGCAAATGAATATTTTTGTGGTTGCGAGTTCTGAATGCTGAAGTTTTAGATTTCTCTATAAATGATATCATTGCACTTACAATGTTGTTCCAGCCTATCGCATAAATCATAGAAAATCCAAAAAAAAAAATAATATAAAGAAAATTCATGTCATGAAGTTCAAAAAATACCGTGTAACATTAAAATTTGTTATGCATAATACATTTTAGCTATTATTGATTTTTTTTAATTTTCGAGAAATTGAATAGTGAGTCCGATAGAGAAATTTTTAAAAATCCTAGTGCCTCATAGAAGTAATTTCCCTCGTCTCCCATACTTCCAAATGTATGCATATGACAAAACTTTTATGCATTACACAAGTGGCCAATAATATCTATAGAGAAAAAAATTAGAAATTTAATTTTTTTATATGATAGTATATTTCAGATTTGCGAGCGTAACTTTTTTCTCCATGGCATACTTGTTTTAAGAGCAAATGATCAAAATCGTCCTTCAATTATTGAAGGAGCTGATATCTTTTGAAAATTGAATTGAAAGGGTATTCAATTTTCAAATTTCCTCTCAATTTTGGAAACATATCAACTCTATGAATTAACAATTATGTGCCTTCACAGTTTATCAGTCATATAAGGTGCTTATAAAGAAAAAAGTTACGCTCGCAAAATATGTTTTTATATAGATTTCACATAAAATAATTATGTAATTTCTAAAAAGAATATTTTTGTTCTTGAATATTAAAGTGTATTGTAGTTTAAAAAGTTTTAAATATGTTGCTAAAATTTCAGGTTTATAGCTCATGTCTAGCATGACTTCTTCGTATGCGCAAAAAATCTGACACGTAAGGGTATCCTTAAATTACAAAATAATAATAACAAAAAAATATTCATGACCGGAGGTTTTAATTAATGTTTAATGAAAGAGAACGATTCATTATAAATTATTGAATGTTAAATTGTTGTAAAAACACATTGAAATATTTGTGAAGAAAATGGCTATTTAATATTGAAAAATAAAAATAACAAAATGTTTATTTCATTTAGTTGCCATTAAGATATGACGGCTATTTAACAAGTTTTTCTTGGATCTTAACCGCCTAACGTTCAAAATTAACCTTTGTGCTTTGATATTACGTTCACATGTTGCCTCCGAAGGAGATGAACATAACAAGCGTAATGCTATTTCCGCAAGGATGGATTTTTCTCCAATTCTATGCGAGATCTCTTCCCAAGCATAATTTTGTGCCTCGTCCATCAGATCGTTCTCAAAGATGTCTGATTCCTTATTGATGAACGTATTATATAACGAGAGTACAAGCGTTTTTTGTCTTTCGTTCAATCGGAATTGAACCAAAATGCGCTTGAGGTAATCTTTAGCTGCTGTTAGATCATTTTCGGCAGTCTGATGATTATCCTCGCGTACATCTTGCAATGTAAGCCTAAGTTGATCATCAGATTCGACAATTCTACGAAATGTGCCTTCATCTGTTACATCAATTACAGCGTTTGTGTTACCTCCTCAAAAATAGAATCCATGTAAATGTCCTGTAAATCTTCTGCCGGATCTTTATCAGGAATATGTCACTTTGAAAGGAACTCAAGGGATCGGCCAAATCTTCTACTTCTTCGTTTTTAACAAAACTTTCTATGGAAGTAGAAACCTTCCTCTCGGCGTGAGAGAGAATGCCAAACACCATAGCCCACCAAAGTCAGAGTCCAAGGTATAGCTATCCAATGAAGATGCCAAGATGGATCCGAATGCATTATGCAAATTGGATGTCAAAAGATTGAGAGCTGATATGGCTTTACGAAGCCAAATGTAACAATTTGCCAACAATGCCTTATCCGATTCGAATACTAAGATTAGCTTTTTAAGAACAGCTAAACAATCTTTCAATTGTACGATTTTATCGTGATCTACATTTATATATTGCTTGATTTTGTTTTCGACTTAAGAATAAAGACACATATATTATAGTCATATATCCATCTGGTGGATACATGCTGTGGACATTGTGCACCTATATCGTCAGCATGAATGCGACAAAGTTCTGCATTCTGTGCACATCCTTTACTAAACTTTGTAACTGGTTGTTCTTGCCAGCAATATATTGATAGCTGTTGTGGATTCTGTGACACAAACAGGGAATAAGCAATATCTTGTAGTATTTTGGATCTCTGTCATGATAGAATGAATCATTCCAAGTATCTTTGAAGCATTTTAACTGTGCTGGTCCTCCGTCAACTACCACACTACCTATCTTGACTTTCCTAATGTCAATTCTGTTAAATCCTGCTGTTATTGCGGATTTATAATCCTGACTTGTCTGGCCATCCTTCATATCTATCGCCTCTACTGGTAGGCTTCATTGCTCCAACGGATTTGTTAAGACAAAATCAAGATGTGGGTAATCATGTGTCTTGCCTTCATCGATGGCGACACAAGTGTATGCTTTTTTGGCGAATTCGAGAACTTTAGCAAGGTGTATGCTGTTAGCAATAGCAATCATTCTATTTCGGATCTCATCACGTGTAATAGCTTATATAATTTGTCAGCAAGTTTTTCCGGATTGATATTAGCTGACTGAAGTTGTTTGTATTGTTCATCATTTGATATATTTGTGAACATAATGAAAATCTTTGCAACATGCGTGAATTCTGGGGATGCAAATGTGTCTAAGGCAAGGTTGAACTTACCGGTAAAAATGGTCATTTCATCGTATACATTCGATAAATCAACATTGGATCATTTGACTTTTACCTTTATTGTAGTAGTCAAGTAATGTTTGCTGCGATAATGCTTCCCGGCCTGACATGTGTGAACATGAGTCTTAAGCCAGTTTTTATAATGATCCTCCCTTTGTTCTTGCATTGAACACCGGCAAACTACGCCATCAGATCGTGTCACAAGTTCATTGCATTTTACATACCACTTGGGACTACCTTCATGTTTATATCGCATGTAAACATGTTGTTTCGTTTCAAGATCGGGATATGTTGTGAACCCGACTTCTTTCATTAATGAAGTGATTTCTTAAGTTGAATAAAAACAAATTTGATTGAAATTCATACAAAATTTTTTTTATCATTATTATTTAAGATGCTTTTTTATGTTGAATTGTTAATTTTTTTATTTCCACCTGGGATATTTTGAATTGGGCTAGCCCAATCCCACCTCTCAATTTTCTCTCAATTGGGCAATGGGGATCCCATATAAAATGTATTGTAACAAAATTTTACATGCATAATATAGTACAATTAAACAACATTCTAAAAATATTAAATTCACATCATTTACTTGAAGATTTTATATTTTCAACAAAAATTAATACAATAATTACATTAAATTGAGGAGATTTATAATAATTATTATAAATTAAAATATTATTACTCATTAATTTGTTGAAATATTGCATTTTAGTGGTAAAAATTAAAATTTAAGTTTACATGCAGAAAAAAAATTTTAAATTCCAAAAAAAATTCAATTGGGATAACGATAGGGACAAAAATTTAGAATCCCCATATGCTTGGGATAAAATCACATGAATAATCCAGAGATCATGAGTGAATGTTTGAAATATCAAAAACCAAATAGAGAATGCATGGAATATGCAACTATTTCACACAATATTGATTTTGTTACATTCTTAATGAATGAATACAATATTGAAATCAACTTAAAAGATTGTGGATTTTATAACAACCTTGAAGCACTTTTAATTTATTATGACCAAACTAATGATATTAACAAATGCTTTATTCATTCTGCTTTGTTTAACATTCTATCTCTTTGTGAATATTTCCTATCACATGGTGCAAATATCAATGAAAAAGATGATTTTGAAAAAACAACTCTTCATTATGCAGCAGAAAGTAATAGTAAAGAAATAACTGAACTTCTTATTTCACATGGTGCAAATATCAATGAAAAAGATAATTTTGAAAAAACAACTCTTCATTATGCAGCAGAAAGTAATAGTAAAGAAATAGCCGAGTTTCTTATTTCACATGGTGCAGATATCAATGAAAAAGATGAAAATGAATTTAATGCCCTTCTTTATGCTGCATATAATAATAATAAAGAATTGGTCGAGTTTCTTATTTCAAATGGTGCAAATATCAATGAAAAACGTATATATGGAGTAACAGCTCTGCATGATGCAGCTCGTAATAATAGTAAAGAAACAGCTGAACTTCTTATTTCACATGGTGCAAATATCAATGAAAAAGATGAAGATGGAAAAACTGCTCTTCATCTTGCAGCAGAAAATAATAGTAAAGAAACAACCGAATTTCTTATTTCACATGGTGCAAATGTCAATGAAAGAGATGCAAATGGAAATACAGCTCTTCATATTGCAGCACATAATAATAGTGCAGAAACAACCGAATTTCTTATTTCACATGGTGCAAATGTCAATGAAAAAGATAACAATGGGAAAACTGCTCTTCATTATGCAACTCGTAATAATAGTAAAGAAACAGCCAAGTTTCTTATTTCACATGGTGCAAAATAATAATGTTTCTACATAAAATGATATTCTAAATTCATATTCTTTCTATTTCTGATAAATTTAGAAATAAAAAAAATTATGCTTTTATCATCGATACTATATTATTTTAACATACCACCTCGCAATTCTATAGAAATTCAGTCAGAAAAGAAGAAATATGAGTATCAATCATAGTGATTTTAGTAATTTGATAGGATGATAATTTTATGCTTACTGAAATTCGATTTAAATGAGCATAAAATAGAAACTATGTCCCCCTAATAATAGTTAATATTGCATTAAATGTATCCATCATCACTAGATAAACACTACAATATACTTTAGAAGTGAAATAGAACCGTCACTTTTAGATTCAGATGAAATAATCTAATATTCTTATGAATGAACCTGATGGGTTACAATGAGAAAAACAAATATATTACCAGATAAGATAGATCTAATCAAACAACATCTGAAAGAAATTATCAAGGTCTAAAAGCAAGATAATATGATATTTCGAAACAAAGATTCATTCATTAAAAAACTTTTTGAGCCGAATTTAACACAAAAAAACAATCATATGTTTTTAGGAATAAATGGCCGAAATCAAAGCAACTTTAACTTAAAATGATTGTTTCTGATAATGAATACACTAAAATCCAGAAAAACTCTGCTTAAGATAAAATATTGAATGTAAGAAGTTGAAGATATTAAAGAAATAAATAATGAAAATCGCGAAAATAAAATCACATTTACTGAATCGTGTAAATTAAATGGAAGTATTGTATCCGTGTACATGTAAATTAAATGAGTCTGAGGATGCGACACCTCAAACTGTAGAATTAAAGCCTGGAAAGTATTTGGTCGAACTTTGGGGTGCAAGTGGTGGATGTAATGAGACAGAGCGAAGTGGTAAAGGTGCATATGTATGGATTCGTCTAAATCTCGTTGAATCGAAAACTTTTACACTCTTTATTGGTGGAACTTCGACTTTTTCTAATATAACTATGGTGAAAGGCGGTTGCAACGGCGGTGGTGATTCATTTCAAGGTAACTATAAGAATGGTCGAGCTCTGATCGCCGGAGGTGGTGGTGGATCTACTTCAATAGGTCTGTCACTTTTTGATTCCGATCGAATTGCCGTTGCAGCTGGTGGAGGTGGGTGTGGGTGCGATGGCAGTGGTGGGAATGCCGGTGGATTAGTTGGCTTTGATGGTACATCAACTTTGGCATCTAAAAAAGGGCGAGGTGCCAATCAAGAAGGCCCTGGTATCGGAGTATAATATTATAATTTGTATAGACAGAAAATGGGACCCTTCAAAAAGGAGGTAATGGTATTGGCGAAGCCTTTAATGGCGGTGGTGGAGGAGGGGGATATTATGGTGAAGGTGGTTCGTACGAGGCAGGTGGTGGTGGCGGATCTTCGTATAAAAAGTCAGGTTATTATGGCGGAATTCAAAGTGGATCAGAAACATTTCGTTCTCCTAGTGGAAATGAAGAAACAGGTCACTACGGCAATGGCTTTGCACGAATCAAATTCCTCTCATACTCATGTGTATGTAATATCATAAATCCAAACAGATTCTTTAGTTTTATGAATTTTGTTGTTTTGTTATTTTCAGATAAATAAACATTCTTTATATGTTAATAAATACTTCATTTATTTTGACTTGTATTTTTTTCAAAACGAAAGTCAAAATTATCTCAACCATTTCTGATGTTCTTTCTCAAAATATTGTTCAGTTGATTCTTTAAGAATCAATTGTCAAACCAAAAAATCGTCAAGCAAATTTAAGCATATTAAGCTTACAAATCGAAACATTTTCGCTACATTTCGTTTTTAATTTCTCTCAAAATATTAATATCACTATATTTACACTAAAAATGGTATTACCAATGAAACAAAATAATGATAAAAACGAAATAATGGATGTTAATCGTAAAACTAATTTCAGATTTACTAAAATGCGTAATATAAATGGAAGTATCGTATCTGTGTACATGTAAATTAAATGAGTCTGAGGATGCGACACCTCAAACGGTAACGTTGATGCCTGGAAAGTATTTGGTCGAACTTTGGGGTGCAAGCGGTGGATGTAATACGAAAGAACGAAGTGGCAAAGGCGCATACGTATGGATTCGTCTAAATATCATTGAATCGAAAAATTTTACGATCTTTGTAGGTGGAACCTCGAATTATTCTGATGTAACTATGGTGAAAGGCGGTTGCAACGGCGGTGGTGATTCATTTCAAGGTAACTATAAGAATGGTGAGTCTCTGATCGCCGGAGGTGGTGGTGGATCTACTTCAATAGGTCTGTCACTTTTTGATTCCGATCGAATTGCCGTTGCAGCTGGTGGTGGGGGTTGTGGGCGCACTGGAAACGGTGGCAACGCCGGTGGATTAGTTGGATCTGATGGTACTGGAATACTGAATTCCAATTACCGAGGATTAGGAGCAAGCCAAGAATGCCCTGGAACAGGGGGTTGGGGTTATGATGATTTTCGAGCAGAAGATGGGAAAATTAAAAAGGGAGGAAATGGTTTTGGATTAGCTTACAATGGCGGTGGCGGTGGAGGGGGATATTATGGAGGAGGTGGTGCATATGAGGCAGGTGGTGGTGGTGGATCTTCGTTTATAAATCCAAGTTATTATGGCGGAATTCAAAGTGGATCAGAAACATTTCGTTCTCCTAGTGGAAGCGAAGAATAGGGTCACTATGGTAATGGTTTTGCACGAATCAAATTCCTCTCATACTCATGTGTATGTAATATCATAAATCCAAACAGATTCTTTAGTTTTATGAATTTTGTTGTTTTGTTATTTTCAGATAAATAAACATTCTTTATATGTTAATAAATACTTCATTTATTTTGACTTGTATTTTTTTCAAAACGAAAGTCAAAATTATCTCAACCATTTCTGATGTTCTTTCTCAAAATATTGTTCAGTTGATTCTTTAAGAATCAATTGTCAAACCAAAAAATCGTCAAGCAAATTTAAGCATATTAAGCTTACAAATCGAAACATTTTCGCTACATTTCGTTTTTAATTTCTCTCAAAATATTAATATCGCTATATTTACCCTAAAAATGGTATTATTAATTTAATGAAATAATGATAAAAAATGATAAAAACGAAATAATGGATGTTAATCGTAAAACTAATTTCAGATTTACTAAAATGCGTAATATAAATGGAAGTATCGTATCTGTGTACATGTAAATTAAATGAGTCTGAGGATGCGACACCTCAAACGGTAACGTTGATGCCTGGAAAGTATTTGGTCGAACTTTGGGGTGCAAGTGGTGGATGTAATACGAAAGAGCGAAGTGGCAAAGGTGCATATGTATGGATTCGTCTAAATCTCGTTGAATCGAAAACTTTTATGATCTTTGTTGGTGGAACCTCGAATTATTCTGATGTAACAATGGTGAAAGGCGGTTGTAACGGTGGTGGTGACTCATATCAAGGTATACTTATGAATGGCGATTCGAGAATTGCGGGTGGAGGTGGTGGATCTACTTCAATAGGTCTGTCACTTTTAGATGACGATAGAATTGCCGTTGCGGCTGGTGGTGGTGGCTGTGGAAATGGGTACAATGGTGGCAACACCGGTGGGTTAGTTGGCTTTGATGGAGCATCATGCGTGGGAACTGAGCAAGGAGGGGGTTCAAGCCAAGAAGGCTCAGGGATTGGAGGTTATTATGAAAATCATATAGCAGAAAATGGTAAAATTAAAAAAGGTGGGAAAGGAACAGGAGTGGGTTACAATGGTGGTGGTGGTGGAGGGGGATATTATGGAGGAGGTGGTGCATATGAGGCAGGTGGTGGTGGCGGATCTTCGTATAAAAAGTCAGGTTATTATGGCCGAATTCAAAGTGGATCAGAAATATTTCGTTCGCCTGAAGGTATTAACGAAGAAGGTCACTACGGTAACGGCTTTGCACGAATCAAATTCCTCTTATTTTCATGTGTATGTAATATCATAAATCCAAACAGATTCTTTAGCTTTCTGAATTTTGTTGTTTTGTTTTTTTCAGATAAATAAACCTTTTCATATACTACTTATTAATGGGATTAGATAGATTTATATTCTTTTTTAATTCTGATTCAAATATTATTCATGCAAATTATTGAATGCAATCCGAAAATTTGAAATTGATTCAATATAAATTTATCATGTGTACGATCGTATAATCAAAAGTGTGATACAAGATATATTAAAAGTGAATGATTTTGTATCAGATTTTTTCAAAATAAAGGAACTCAGCAAGTTTAAATGGAAAAACTTATTTAAACAATACCTGCATGATAATATCAACGAAATACATGATAGTATTGTAAAAAATGACAGAAAATCTATAGAAGCATGCGATATTAAATGGAAGCATCGTACACATGTACATGTAAATTAAATGATTCTGAGGATGCGGTACCTCAAAAAGTGAAGTTGAAGACTGGCAAGTATTTAATTGAACTTTGGGGTGCAAGCGGAGGATGTAATACGAAAGAACGAAGCGGTAAAGGCACATATGTATGGATTAGTTTAGATCTTGTCAAAGAACAAACTTTCTGGATATTTGTTGGTGGAACTTCGACTTATTCTAATATAACAATGGTGAAAGGCGGTTGTAACGGCGGTGGTGATTCACACCAAGGAACATTCAATGATGGTAACGCTCTGATAGCCGGCGGTGGTGGTGGATCTACTTCAATATGTCTGTCACTTTTTGATTCCGATAGAATTGCCGTTGCGGCTGGTGGTGGTGGTTGTGGGCGAGTTGGTGACGGCGGCAACGCCGGTGGGTTAATTGGATCCAATGGAACATCCATTAAACCCAATTTCCCAGGATTGGGTGCAAGTCAAGATGGACCTGGGATCGGAGATTTTTATATTGATGGAAATAATTATGTTCATAAGGCAGAAAATGGAAAGATTAAAAAAGGAGGAAAAGGATATGGATTGAGTTATAACGGCGGTTGTGGAGGAGGGGGATATTATGGAAGAGGTGGTTCCTATGAGGCAGGTGGTGGTGGTGGATCTTCGTTTATAAAGTCAGGTTATTATGGCCGAATTCAAAGTGGATCAGAAACATTTCGGTCTCCTGAAGGTATTAACGAAGAAGGCCACTACGGTAATGGTTTTGCACGAATCAAATTCATCTCATACTCATGTGTAGTTCAATATTTTAATAGGAATAATTTTCAATTTGGTAGCATATATCTTTTTGAATATAAAAATTAATTTTCTATATCTATTAAATTCTTGTCTTGGCTTTTAGAGTTAATAAAGGAGCTTTGAAAGAAGACAGGGATAAACATATTTTTTTATACTGATGAGATGATACCTTAATGTACATTTCTGTCCCTTAATGGAGATCCGGTGTTTCCTAATTTAATTCCCGCATCTTGCACGTTAAACTGTGTACTATATATCAAAATATTTGTGCATTTTTTCAAATTAAAACTGGATTTTCTCCAAAATCGAACAAATGAAACCGTTTTAAAAATTAAATCGAAAATTTACACACTTAAGTAAGCAATTCATATATTTTAAGCGAAAATTTAGTCGTAATAAAATTCGAAACTTAAATTTAAATGAAAAAACTTTTCAATGTACTTGCGTCGAAAATGTTGATGACAATGCTACTCCCCAATTTGTTGTTCTGAATGAAGGAAAGTATTTAGTCGAATTATGGGGAGCTAGCGGTGGATGTGATACGATCGAAAGAACTGGAAAAGGTGCTTATGTTTGGTTTCATCTGTATGTGAGTACAAAAACTAATTATACGATTTATATTGGCGGCCATGCCGGTTACTCTGCTGTTGAGCAGGTGAAAGGAGGCTGCAATGGCGGTGGAAATTCGTTTCAAGGGACATTTGTTCAAGATGCAAAGATTGGCGGCGGTGGTGGTGGATCTACTTCATTCGGCATGTCACTTTTAGATTCCGATCGAATTGCCGTTGCGGGCGGTGGCGGCGGTTGTGGCCGCGTTGGGAATGGTGGACATGCAGGAGGCATGACTGGTGGGAATGGAATAATTTTTGCCGATAATGATCCTGGTTGGTGTGGAAAGGGTGAATCACAGATTTCTGGCGGAAAAGTCGGCTCGTATTATGATGGATTTACAACTCATCTTGGAAAAGATGGAGAATTAAAGCGAGGTGGTGATGGTTATGGACAAGGATTTAATGCAGGTGGTGGTGGAGGTGGTTTTTACGGAGGAGGAGGTTCTTATGAGTCAGGAGGTGGTGGGGGATCTTCATATCTGAACCCAGTTTTGTATGGAAGTATACTTAGCGGTAGCGAATCTTTCAAATCTCCTGAAGGCACTCTTGAAACCGGTCATTATGGTGATGGTTTTGTTCAAATCACACCAATGTATTATACATGCTTAGCACATACCTATATGCAGCTTCATTTTCTATTTACTTTAATTTCTCTCGGTTTTTCTTAAAAATCAACTTTCTTGTATATATATTAAGGATCTCGTTTGGAGAAATAACGGCTGGGATCTCCAAATTCCAAAATATAAGCTTCTCCAATTTTGTAAATTTTAATGTAAATTATACACTATTTTTTACAAATATTACCCCCCTGGTTTCTTATCAAAATGTCAGATTTTAACTTTACAAACCATTAGATTTGTAAAGTTTGAAATGTCAAAACTCCCAATGAGTTCACCTCACATTTTCTCCATGGAGACGTGGAGAAAGTATTCAATTTTGAATTGGTGGAGAAGACAGACTAGTTCAATTTCTCCATGGAGATGGAGAAATGGAGAAGCTTTGGAGACGGGTATTGCATTCGTTTTCATGGAAACTTCCTATGGGCAATATTTTTGGGATTTCAATGATCTACTGATCCCAAGAAATAGTTCCAATATTTATTTAGAATATTATTGAATTTTTATTTCTTGAATGTTAATCAGCATTTATGGCGAGTTTATATTATATTTCACCTATAGATATTAGTCACTACCACAAAATATCATATCACAGATTTTTATGCATTTTCAATTTAAAACAATCTTTATTTGATAATACGAATAAAACTACAATAGTTTTCATCTAATCTATTAATGATCTCTCTTAGATCATCGATAAAATTAAATCTAAAATATTTTTCATTGATTCCCAATAAAATCAGTTTAGCCTAAGGGAGTTTGCTTTCGCATTTCTATGTTGATTACTTTCATTTATATTATTCATGAAATTACAAAAATATTCCTTGATATAATTTGCCAATTCTTAATTAAATGTTAAGTACTTCCTACATATCAAGTTTGAGCACAAGCTTGTTAAATTTAGGAACATGACTGATATTGAGATATATATTTTGCCAAATTGAAGTTTACAATTTGTAAAGTGTCTCCAAACTTAAGTTTCTATTATAATAAAAGCTCGTAAACCTAATAGTATGATAAGATTTGAAAGGTATCAATTTACACCGTTTTTTTTTCAAAAAAATAATTGATCAAATTATTATGCACGATCGGAAAATTTGTATTTGATTCAATCAAAGTTTCTAATAAACTCGAGCATATATTAAAGGGATGCGATACTGCGAGTATAGAAAGTGAAAGATTTCAAGAAAAATTATTAAATAAGTTTCAAAATAAAAGCTTTCGACAAACTGAAATGTAAAATTCTATTTTGACGATGTTTATATGAAAATAATAATGAAATGCATGATACTACGCTAAAAAATAACATAAATAATAATTTAGCTTGCGATAATAAATGGAAATATCATATCCGTGTACATGTAAATTAAATGAGTCTGTGGATGCAGCACCTCAAACTGTAGAATTAAAGCCTGGAAAGTATTTGGTCGAACTTTGGGGTGCAAGTGGTGGATGTAATACGAAACAACGAAGCGGTAAAGGAGCATATGTATGGATTCGTCTAAATCTCGTTGAATCGAAAAATTTTACGATCTTTGTAGGCGGAACTTCGACTTATTCTAATATAACTATGGTAAAAGGTGGTTGTAACGGCGGTGGTGATTCATATCAAGGTAACCTCAAGAATGGTGAGTCTCTGATCGCCGGAGGTGGTGGTGGATCTACTTCAATAGGTCTGTCACTTTTTGATTCCGATCGAATTGCCGTTGCAGCTGGTGGTGGGGGTTGTGGGCGCACTGGAGACGGTGGCAACGCCGGTGGATTAGTTGGATCTGATGGTACTGGAATACTGAATTTCAATTACCGAGGATTAGGAGCAAGCCAAGAATGCCCTGGAACAGGGGGTTGGGGTTATGATGATTTTCGAGCAGAAGATGGGAAAATTAAAAAGGGAGGAAATGGTTTTGGATTAGCTTACAATGGCGGTGGCGGTGGAGGGGGATATTATGGAGGAGGTGGTGCATATGAGGCGGGTGGTGGTGGTGGATCTTCGTATAAAAAGTCGGGTTATTATGGCCTAATTCAAAGTGGATCAGAAATATTTCGTTCCCCTGAAGGTATTAACGAAGAAGGCCACTACGGTAATGGCTTTGCACGAATCAAATTCATCTCATACTCATGTGTTGTTAACATTTTCAACAGAAACATTTTTCCTTTTGATAAATTCTTTTTCATTTTTCTTGTCTCATAGAGAAAATAAACGCTATCTAATATTTGTGCATTGAGATATATTTTCTCAATCATAAACTATGAGAGCTAAAATCTACTATTCTAATTTAATCATTATTTAGTTTCATATTTCATTTTATGTCAAATTATAATCTCACTCATGTAAGGGGTCTCTATGATTATTCCTTTTTATATTCAAAAAAGCTGAATAGATCTAGAAGTCTTTCGCCACCTAAAAGTCCTAAAAAAACAAAAAAGCAAAATAACGATTTCATTCAAGAAAATAACCAAGAGTCTGAAAAGTATTCATCCGAATATACGGATTACAACTACTATACATATTCGGAACCATATAATTCAAGCATTATTTATAGCTCAGACGAAGAGCGTTTAAATGGTTACAAGATTAGAGCAAATTTTTTAGTTAAAAGAAGATATTTTTATACATGGTTTTCTAGGGCGTGCATACGTAGTGCCTCACAAGCTAGGCAAACTATGATTGAAGAAAATACAAATTACATTTTTCCGGAATTTTCTTCTCTGAACTGGCAATCAACAGAAATAGAGCCAACACGTGATATTGAATCTCGATTGAAATATGGAAAGAGTTTTTTAGGAATTCGTCCAGTTTCATTCCTCGAGAACTATAAATAGATATGCTGTTAAGAGTAAATGTTTGTTGTTTATATAATTACCAAATCCTTATCAATCGACAAATACATTTGTTGATAATTAGTGAATTAAAATGTCAATTCAGCTGTTGAGATATTAATAGTGCTTGCCTAAAGCATCGGGGTATAAATCATGATCGTGAAGCAATCTGTATCTTATTGTGTTAGGTTAAAATTCAAATGATGTATTAAAAAATGTCTGATTTCCACAAAATTGTAAATAAAGAATGTAAGAAAAGAAGTACAAGTCTAAACTAATAAATGTTTATTCTCTATATATCAATATTAAATAACAACAGATCTGAACTTATATCTAAGCATATAAGTTTGAATGGCATTCATTTCTCGAACTTAAATAGTTATCATGAAGCTTTTCAGTGTTTTTCAATCGAGTTTGAAGATTATTTATCTTATGTAGTAAAGAATGATTCAAATCTATAGTTTCAGGAGGAATAAATTGTACTTCTTTTCTTGCATTTAGCTCTGCATTAACTGAATTTAGTCTTGATAATAAAATACTGCGTTCTTTTTCTCCATATTCATAATCAGAACGTATTTTCTCGTTTTCTTTACGAAGTTTTGAATTCTGTTCCTTAAAGTCCTCTAATTTGTACTTAAGCTGTTCTATTTTACTATTGGAATCTTTTGAAAATTTTTCCATGATTTTTTCTGATTTATTTATATGTATTTGACACTTCTTTAATTTAAGTTTTAGCAATTCTATTTCATTTTGCGTATTTTTAATATAATTTGGTACCCATAACGAAAATTTGTTCAAATCATCTGGAGTTTCTGGCACTAATTTAGAAACATTTGTCATTATATCTTGAGCAAAATCCCTTTTTGGTGTATTTTGGAACTGCATTCTATCAATTACTAAAAATGCAAATTGCTCAACTTTTTTTATTACGTTTTTCTGCGCAAGAATTTGATCAATTAATGTGATTTTTGATGTATTGTCTATTTTAAGAAATAAAGAGATTTTGTCAGCAGTTTCATCAATAATTCGTGCAATTTCTTCCATTTTGTATTGTAACCGTTTATTTTATATTATATCAAATGTATAGAATAAAAATATTATAGAAGTCAATATTATTAATTGTTACCAATCATTTAGAATGCACATCTATGAAAAGAAATTAAACAACTGTACATTCAAATTTTATTAAAATTCTTAATTCATCATGTTAAATTATTTCGATTTCATTCATGTTAAAAGAGTTTACTTGAAGATTAAGACTTTTTGTAAATGATTCTTTTGCTCAATGATCAGCAAATCTGTTAAACAGTGAAAGAAGCATGTAAAAAAAATCAAACAATACATTTTAAAATTAAAACAAAAACAATCAATTAAAACTATAATATTCTCAATTCTTCTCATTAAGTTTTTCATCATTCTTATCTTCTTTTTCTTTATCATATTTTTCTTTGTTATTCTTATCTTTCTTCTCTTCTTCTTCCTCCTCCTCTTCTTGTTCTTCTTCGTTTTTCTCTTCTTCCTCTTCTTCTTCATTTTTCTTTTCTTCCTCCTCTTCATTTTTATCTTCTTCTTCGGGTTTCTGACCTTCCAAAACTTGAGTAAGACCTGGATTTACAAGAGGTCCTAAATACATCGGAGGTTGGTCTTTCTGTTTTGGTTTCTTTGGCTTCTTTGGCTTTGCAACTTCCATTTGTTCTTGTTTCTCAGCTTCTAGAGAAGCAATTAATTCCAAGCATCTTTGGTTGCAGCTTGAAATTCTCGAGATAAGATTCAATGGATCGCAACCAACTTCTTGAGCGGCAATTCTTTCTTTGTCTATAATTTGTATTGCGTTTATGCACCAATCAATTTGTGCTTCAATGTTATCTAAATGTCCAGACAAATTAGAATCACCTGAAATTGTGTTTCCTATTGCATTTATAAGGTAGTAAGCAGTAATTTGGTTTCTAAAGTTGTTTGCTGATCTTCCTCTTATTTTCTTTCTTAATCTGATCAAATGGATTTCGATTGCTTTTCGAAGTTCTTGCATTTGCTTTGTATATTTTTCTTCATCGTGTTCGAAAAGAGGAATAGTGATTAAATGCTCGCCACCATCATCATCGACCATTTGGAAGCCATCAAATGTTTTGTATTTACCTTTCTTCTGTTTTTCCTTTTCTTTTTGCTCATCTTCTAAATTCTTGTTCATATTCATGATCATTGTACGAAGACCAATTGGTTTATTAGGCTGAATCTTCATTTTCTTTGATTCTCTTTCTTCTTTCCTCTTTTGCATCGCTTGTTGAAGCATTTCAACAGATACATAAGGATTTTTCGGTTTTTTGGTTTGATTTTGCTTCCTTTTCTGCATTTCTTGTTGTAGCATCTCTGGAGATACATAAGGGTTCTTTTTTGGCTTATTTTCCTCAGAATTATTTTCGGGATTTTGATTATCTTTTTCTTCTGTATTCTTATTGTTATTATTATCTTTTGCTTCCTCCTCTTCTTCGTTCTGTGGCTCTGTATCAATAACTGCAGCTGTATATTCATCCGGTTGGGAAATTTCAGCGAGAGTTTCAAGGCATTCTTTCACACCATCCTTGTAATTGTTTGATATGACATTTACTTCGGTTTTTGTCGATGATTCCAAATTTGATAATTGATTTTCGATCAAAAACGAATAATCAATAACTTTTTCAAACAAACTTGTTGTGCTTGCTTCTTGTGATTGCGATTGGTCATTCTGATCTTTGATATCATTCAGTGTTGAAACAATTTTTTGGAGTTGTTCTTCGTTTTTGGCTTTAATATCATCTATTTCATTATGAAATTCTGTATTTAGCTCTTCTATCTTGGCAGGAATGACATTTTCATCAACTTCTTTGAGATTTGTTAACGTTTCTGTCAACATCGCTTCAAGAGTTTCATAACTGATTCCAAATTGATCTGTATCGAGAATCTTTTGGAATTCATTTAGTTTTCTTTCATTTGTATGTAAATTTGGCGTAAGATCATTGATTTTTGATTCAATCGATGTCGCAAAGAGAAAAGTCTTGTTTTTAACAGACTTGAATTCTTTAACTTGTTCGTCAATCTGTTCCCCAATTGTTCCAACATGTTGAGCTGTCGTCATTAAAATTTGATTTGTTTTATTTTTAAGGGTTTTGATATCTTCTTGTAATGGACGAGTTTTGTTATCCAGATCATTTTGCATAAATCTATCGAATTTGTTAGAAAGTTCTTCGTATTTTTTGGCTAATCCTGAAATATCTTCAAAAATTAGCTTTTGTGATTGAGTTTGAAGCTCTTTCGACTTCTTTTGAGTATCATCATATTGATCATAAACATTTTTCATCATTGGTAAATAACGTTTTTGAAGATCTTGAATTCGCTGATTCAATTCTTTCATTTTGTTTTCTTGAGCGATGGAGCGTGATTTTTGCTTTGCGAGGAACTGGTTCTGTTGATTTTGTAGGATTTTATTATTATAAGCAGTGAAAGTTTCTGAGGAATTCGATGAGTTGTTGGTTAATATAATCCCTGAATACGATGGTTGTGCAGGGGCTGCCTGAAACCGAATAGGAGGTAAAGAACTCATCAAAAATTTCTGACAAAATCTTCTCAAAATCTCGGTAGGAAATTATATTTGAGTGAAATCAATGGAAAAACCGACACCAAAACGCTTCCAGAAATAAAATCAGAACTTTTAAACGCAATATTTTAATAATATGATCTCACTCGGGTTTTAGATTGTATTACATTCAGTATATGATAGCAATCGAAAATTTGATCAAATGCACCAAATGTTATCAAATTATCCCTAATATGTCAATTAAATGCATCAATACAAAGCAATTCCAAATGATTTTGTACTATGTGAAATAAGTGGTTCAATCACATCTTCATAATTATGTCTTGTCTCATAATGGATCTGGCACGCCTTTGAAAATTGCGTGTAAAGTTATTGTAAAATCAAATTCGTTTTTTTTTTACAAAATAAAAAAAAAAACTATGTTTCGGAAGCATGCCAGATCACGGGAAGTTTCACCACATACCTATTCGAAGCATGTTACTCCGATGATAGTTGCAAGTATTAATTCGCCGCAAACGCCTTACATTTTATCACCATTAAAACCATTGAGTCGATTAATAGACAAACCTGTTCCAAAGTCACAACCAAGATCTCCAAGAGATCCTTCACCAGAAAAAGAGCGCAGTAGATCAGTTGAAAAACGAAATACTTCACCACCAAGAGTTCAAGACATAATTAATCCAAAAGAAGAAAAAGTATCGATTAAAGAGTCAAGGTTAGAAAGTATGGTAAAACAAGATGCTGAAATTGATGAATATTTCATAAAATTAGGTTCTTCGAAATTACTGAACGAAGCAATTGAATCTTTTCTTGAAGAAAGGATCTCCAACTCAAAAGTAATCTTTTGGGAAGAAATTGCGTCATTACAGCTCTTATATAGCTTCAGAATGAAAAGATATTCTTCACATGAAGGAACAACAGTTGGCTTTGCATTCTCATCACGCGAATTAGTACAAATTCCACATTTGAAGAACCACCCGTCTTACAATGCAGAATTTGATGGACAAATTGCAAATCCAGATTCTCGCGTCGTATTTTTCCCATTAAATGATTCAAGCGGTAATTTAATTGGTATTGTCCAAATTCTACTGAAAGTTAACGATCGTCTTTTAGAATCTCAAATAAATTTCATAAATCAATTCCAAAAGAAATTTACAGCATTTAGTGAATGGATTCTCAGTTATACAATACCAGAACAACTCATTGGTGAATTCTCACAGCTCCTAGAGTTCGAGCAATTTTTAGTTGCAACTCAATCAAGATTACATTCACTTTTCAGAGCAAAACGTGTCGAACTATGGATATATCATAGAGATACAGGTAAAATACTCAGATGCACAGACAAAATCGAAGAAATAAACGATAAAAAGAAAGGATTTGTTGGAAATGCCATTACAAAAGTCCAATTAATACATACTCTCGATGTAATGAGAGAGCAGACATATAATGTAGCTGTAGATGGTAGCGAACATGAAGCAGTTTTCGTTCAACCTTATGATAATCAGAATGATAACAGAGTTTATGCAGTTGTTTTACGCGGAAACATGAGAGATGAGATATTCTCACATCGTGATGAGGTTCTCCTTAAGAAAATCGGACCTTATGTCATGACATCGTATCGAAATGCGGAAAAGTTCAACAATAGGAAAGAAAAAGACTTCAATCCAATCAATTCTCTTACAGAGTCGCTTCCTAAAGCTAACCAAGTCAAGCGCGGAGAAGTTTTCCTTCAATCATTGATGAATGCCTTAGCCCAAATCACCAAATCCGAGCGAGTCCTGTATTTCAAGGTTGACCATGTTGCAAGGGAAGTCAGATCCATTTACATCACCGGAAATGAGCCCCCAATAACTTATAATCTTGGCCAAAACCACGTTGGCATTGTCGCCGAGACTGGGCAGCCAATCAACTGCTCAGATGCCCAGAAAGACAAAGACGCGGACACTGTCTTCGACTCAGTACTCAGCCGACAGACCAAGACGATACTCACAATTCCGATCGTTTCCGTTGATGGAAAAATTTCCGCTGTTATACAGTTAATCAACCGCGGCGATGGTGAGCCTTTTTCGAAAGACGATGCAGACATGGCCTCTGTTGTTGGCACAATCTGTATTTGTCTTCTAGAGAACTCCCAATTGCTCAGAGGAAACATTGCAATGAGAGCATCGATTGATTCCGCTGTCAAATTGATCAACTCAATTTTCACATCGAAATCGACAAAAGAAGCATTTGATGCTTTCACAGATCTAACCAAGACAGTGACAAACACTTCTGAATGCATTGTCTACATGTTAGATAAAGTTTCCGAGAGATTATATGATTATTTCGACATCGACAAAGAAGTTCTTCCAAAAGAAGGACCAATCAGCGAATGCATGAAGCGCTGTAAGCCACAGTTCGTCAACGATGTCTCCAAAGTATCGCAGCCTTTGTTTGACAAAGGAATAACAAGATTGTGCTGTTCTCCTTTGCTTTCTAACATGAGTTCTCCAATCGGTGTTGTTATCATCACAAACGGCTCAATTTTTACTGATGTAGAAAGCAATTTATTGGCACATTTATGTAACATCTTTTCTCTTTATTTACAGAGATTGATTAAAGAGAAATGCATTGAAGAAGGTCCTCTTAAATCGGACATTGATATGTTGATTTCTGTTCATGAAAGGAAAGCATATAGTATTCCATCGATTATCAAACCAACAAATGAACAAAGCGATGAATACAAAGGCATCAGATTCAAAGCATTTTCTTTGGATGATGCTGATGTAATGCGTATTTTGTTCTTTGCGTTTGATAATCTTGGAATCATGAATTCATTGAAGATAACAGCTGAAACTGTTTATTCTTTCATCTCTATTTTTAATTCTAGTTTTGTTGAAGGAGTTGCTTTCCACAACAAATTACATAGTTTAGATTGTATCCAATTCTTTATGTTTATGAATCAATTAGGAACTCTCGGACAGGTATTAAACGTTGTAGAAATGCATGCAATCCTTGCTTCGATATTCTGTTATTCCATGAAACATGATGGAACAACAGATATCTACAATGAACATGCAAATACAATTAATTACAGAGTTTTCGGTCCGAAAGTTTTGTCTGCAAGAGCAAGAGCTACTTTATTAGATATATATTCAAAGGAAGGAATGTTAGGAGAAATGAGCCAAAATGATAAAAACTACTTCTGGAATGTTTCTACGACATTATTACAGTCAATTGATCCAGCTGATATACAGCCATTGATCAATAAACTTAAGGAAATCGTTAAGACATCACTTGTGGATTTGACAAATACTGAACATAGATTGATAATCATTGAGTTGATATTTAGAGCTGCAATTATAGGATGGACTGTCAGACCGTTCGGAATCTCTTCTAGATGGCAAGATTTAAGAGCACAAGAAAGTTTCGCTCTTGGAGAAAAAGAAAATTCGCAAGGTTTAGTTTATTCTTCACCTATGAATTCGCCGGATTTGTATGTAAGACCTAAATCAGCTATTGATGTTCTTGTAAATCAATCAATGCCTTTGTTCGAAGCACTAAGCTTGGCTTTCACAGAAATGAAGAGTCTACTTGACGCTGCTGTGGAAAATAAGAACGCTTGTGAAGCAGAAGCAGAAGCTCTCAATAGACAATGATCATTTTTAAATAAACTGTTTATTTATATATTTTTTAGAATATACCCTATGTTATTTACGAAATCCCACAGTTTTACTGAGGATTTAGAACAGAGATTTTGAAAATACTATATGAAAAAGAATTTTATTGAATGAATTTTTTTTCATTAGATAAGTTAAAGAATTTCTATGTTTACTATTAGAAACTTATGTGATAGCTGGGATATTTATAAGATTTGTTTTTTAAAATAAATTAATTTTATTCGAAAATACTATAAATAATTGAACAATTTTAGAAGTTTAATGTTTCAAATGTATGAGTTTTCTTATCTTCAATATTAGTTTTTCAAAAATGCGTACTGCTGGTCCATTAGATGATGCATTCGTTCCAACACAGAGGCGCATTTTAGGAAACTATACACGAGAGCAACTTGTAGATATCTTAGATAAATATGACGAGGCTTTTGATATAAACGCTTCAAAAGAAAAATTAATTGATTTAATTATTGCAATAATGAAGAATACGAAGCCGGTGTCACAGCCTGAAACAAAGAGATCTGACATATATTTGTACTTATCATGGATTTCAAAGTATATTGTATTATTATTTATCGCCTACTTTGCATTTTTGGCAGTGAGTTTACTCATTTTCTATTTATTCGTTCCAAAACCACAGAAATTCTGCAATACAAACAAACAAAGCATTTATTGCATAACTTGTCCAAAATTTGCAAAATGTAAGAGCAATAATGTAACCTGCGAAACAGGATTTACATTTGATGGACGCTATTGCGTCAAAACAGACGATGATACACATGTGATTTCCAAGATGTTGGATTTTGCAACGACAGAATTACGAAAACGCGCAGGGAAACATCGTTGTGGGAAATGCCTTTCCAATTATTTAACAATAGATCAGCTCGATGCACTCATTTACTCACAAAATTTTATAAATCCACAAAAATATGATTTTGTATTTCAAAAAATGATTCAAATATTACAACAACAATATAATATTTCAACCCAGTATGATGATAGAACGACTCTAATTGCATCTACAATCGCAGATAGACCATTTAGTTGCATATTACGAAGATTTTTAATTTCATCAACGTTTTTGTTCATTTTAATCTGTATTTTATGTTATTTAATCAAATATTCCATTAAACGAACTAAAAATCAGAAATTTATTGAAAACAAAGCGCAATACATGGCAATTAAGGTCATAAATGAGATGAAGAACCACGACAGTGAAATAGATGAAAACACTTTGAAGCACAAATTCTCAAAGAATCCAGAAATTGATCTTTCCCTTTGGTTAATCATAGATTCTTACTTGAAAAAGTCTCCATACGTGATTGCAAGGAAATCCAAAGGTGTCACATATTACAGGTTTATCCTATGACCCAATTTTTATCAAAATTCTTTCAATTTATTTTTATTCAAATAATTTGAAGAGGAAAAACATAGAACATTTCATCAATGATTCTAGAAATGAATGTTTGATCCATCAAACCTCAATTTGATGAAAAAAAAACATAATTTAAATTTTGAACTAAATTTAGCTCAAAGATAACTTGTATCAATATATCATGGTATGTTATCATGTTACATGATAGTGTTTTGGCCTCATAAAACAAATGTAAGAAAATTTTATTATTTCTTGACGATTTTTTGTTATGTTTGATAACATCCCTAACTACAAACGCAATGGGAATGTTTGTCATAAATATCCATGCTATTATAAAATAAAAAAAAAATATTTTTTAAAAAAAATTGAATTTTTTATTTCATCTTATCAAAATTATAACATTGTATTTAATGGAAACCTTCATCATTTCTTTTCAACCAAGTAATTTTATGAATATTTGTAAAATATTCTGAAAAACTTTGTAATGCTATAGCAAGACCTCAAAATACATTTAGAATGAAGTGGGTCTCGTTATAGCCTTTGTTTTTCAGAAAAGCAGTGTAATCTTTTGTATTTCGACGCCAACATTATGTAGATATATCAAAAACGTAGTATTATTGAAATATTGAGAATATGAGATAATCAAATTAAAAAAAAGCACTCAAATGTAAAAAAAAATTGTTACTTCTTCCATCTTAACAAGAGTTTTCCGAGTGATCTCGAGAATATCATTGCCTGCTGGTAAGATGTTTCACTTAATTCTGTATTGCCTTGATTGAGTAATCCAACTTCATATTCAACTAAATCAACTGCTTCTGAAATATGGCCTAAAACATTGGCAAGCAATATAGCTCTGTTCAGAACCAAAGCCAAACGCGATGTAGAGTGAGAAGGTAATTTATTTGAAGCAATTTTGTAAGCCTGTTCATAAACAGAAGCAGCACGGTTAGAAAAGAAGGATTTTTCATCATCGTTAGCAAATTCTGTTATATATCTATATAAATCTGCTTGTAATCTCATCATATCAACTTTAACTTCAGTATCCGTATTTCCTGGGATAATTTGTTGATCGATAATTGATAAAACATCATGACATGTGAATTTAAGCTTCTCAAATTGTTTAACTGTCTCATTGTGAATCAATGTAGCTAATGATTCACTTTTTTCTTGTGCAAAAGCTTCACTCTCTCGTAATTGTTTGGTTGCTGCTCTAATAGGATTGACAATAGTTTGGACTAAATCGTTGAAAAACGTTGTTTGTTTCTTATTTAATCTTGCATCCATATCTATAGCTTGTTTAAAAGAAGTCATTGCTTGGTCACAAATCCCAGCCTTATAAAGAGACTTTGCTGTGAACATAAGCAATTTTCTTTGTTTATCAATTAGAGAAGAATCCATTCCAAAAAAAAATTATAAAAAACGAGAAAAATTTTTTCTAAAAAAATGATCTTATTGCTAAATCTTTTATAAAGTATATGTGCTTCATTAAATTATGGATAATCCATGGAAAAAGACGAATATTTTCTTCGTCTAAAATTAAATTTCAGCTCTTCCTCTTTAGAGATGAAAATTGACCACTAATTTGTCATCAATTAATTGAATTTTTGATAATTTTTATGTTTCTCTCCAATAATTAGGTAATTAGAGTTTCGTATAATCATCTGCTGTGGCAAACATCATAACTACACCGAATATAAATATATAGGAAAACACAATTGAAAATCTGATGAAAATTTGGATGATTGAGTTCGAATGTTTTTCCCAGAGAACAATAGTGTTAGGAAAATCAATATAATTGACGAAACTACCTATTGCAGTTGCAGTTATTAAGCTATGAGATAAAATCCAAGCAAAATTAATAGCAATTGCAAAAATAAAGCTTTGAATCATGTAAATGGCTGTTCTCTTAATGATTGGCCATTTGTTGCTAGCTAGTGATGCTGGAGATGTAGTGAAATAATATATTTTTGAGTAACCATAAAACGTCGATGAAATAAATACTGTAGCTATAGGAGAATAGTGTCGTAGCAACATATTATCATAGTATGCATAAAATATAACTGCTTCGATTGCTGGATATATTAAAATTTGAGTCAATAATCCGTTGTAGTATTCATTTCTTAATAATGTTAATAAGAATTGTATTGGCTTTCTGAATTTTTGGCGTTTAACTCTTTTGTAAATGTTATTGACATCTTCTAAGATTTGGGGAATATAAAAAACAAAAACTGCTGCAATTACATACAAAACAGGTTTTGTATGATTAAATATATAGCATGGGTACTTGTTTCCTGCTGATAATAAGTAATAAGCGCAGAAGATTGCGGTAAAAAACATCACAGTAATGCGATAATACTTGAAAGGAGGCGGTCTTCTTGTAATATGATGGAATTCAAATAAAAGTACGATAAGTGATGTGAATATTGATAAGTAAAAGATGGTGCTTGTAGGAGATTCTTGGAAATTCATCATTTTTGACTATTTTTGAAGGTTTTTCTACAAACCAAAAAAATTCAATGACCTCCCTTTCCACAGGTCCAGCATCAAAAATGACCATTGGTGTCTACAAAATGCTTTACGAAACAATCTTTGCTACAAAACTCGACGATGAATTATACGCAAATATCAAAAATTCGAATGGAGTTCATGGTGAAATTGTTTATATGAATGGCGATGTTGCATGCGGTATTATTTCTGGTGAAATCAATGCTAAAAAGATTAAAATTACATCTATTGGTGTTTTAGAAGCATATCGCCGCCATGGTGCTGCAGTTTCTTTAGTTAATGGACTTATTGCATCACAAAAGAATGTAGAGTCTATCTCATGCACATTTGAAAAGTCTAATACAGCTCTTGTTAACTTATTTACAAAATTAGAATTCAAAGTTGCTGAAGAAGCTGGCGAAAACGTCACTTATGAAAAGAATCTTGCTTGAAATATATAAAAATTACAATTAGATTTATATTAACTAGAAATCTATTAACTTTTTTTTTGGCCATATAATTTTTTTTCAATTTAGCAATAAACACCCTGATATCATTTCTCGAAAAACTTTGTAATATGGATTTACTCATACTTTAACAAGAAAATAAAATAATTTAATAGAAAGTTTTTACACCTCAAAATCTATTCAGATTCTCGTAATTTTGTTTTAATGATTTGATATTCACGGAATTTCACTCTTTTACGACTTTTTCTGAAAATAACAAAATAGAATTAAAATAATATATGAAATAGCCTGTAATGCATTAATGGTTTACTCTCAAAATTGTAATACTAAGCTGTATTTTGTGGATTTGTCGTAATAAAATTGTTGAATTAACTTTAAATTTCTTGATATTCTTATTGAGCTATTAAATACTAATGTTAGTAAGAATTTTTTCGTAAAAGTCAATGTTGTGCTTAATTTTTTGCTATTTGTGTTATTTTTTGAATGAATGTATCGAATTGATAAAAATATTTCTTATTTCTTGACTCTTTCTGACTGATAACTGTCGCCGTTAGATACTAGAAGATGTCCCAATGAATCTCTATTTCCAAAAAAAATTTGAAATTCAAGAATCGCTATTCTACAACATATGATTTTATTTTCATTTTTTAATTTTCCTGAATTTTTTGGAAATTTGAGGTTAAAAATTAATTAATATTTAATTTCCTGACTAAATAAATAATTTTCATTAATTTTAAAACGATCGTATTATTTTATTTTTATCATAATTATGATTTAACCATATAAATTCTAATTGCATCAACAAATTAATATAAGATATATATCAAATTAAAATAAATAGAAAAATTATGAGATATTTGTTATGAAATTTATATTTATAAGTATAAATTTAGAATAATGATATTTGTTAAAAAAATAATAATAATTATCAACTTTATTCTATCGGAAATACAATTACTCGTCGTCATTAGCTTCTTCTTCAGCATCTTCATTCGCCTCTTCTTCTTGATCGCCGTCATTTTCTTCTTTGGCGTCCTCTTCAACTTCTTCTTTCGGCTCTTCCTCTTCATCGCCTCCTTCTTCCTTCCTTCTCTGTCTTTCAGCTTCCTCTTCTTCCTCTCTGTGTCTTCTCTCGGCTTCTTCCTCTTCTTCTTGATGTCTTCTTTCAGCTTCTTCTTCTTTACGACGTTCTTCCTCTTCTGCCTTCTTCTGCTCAATGAATTCTTTAGAGGACTCTCTATCTTCGTCTGTTACTTCATCTTCATCGATCTTCTTGAGCCATGGCATTGAATCAATTAAAACAAGACGATATTCATCCTCTTGAGGTACAGCATTTCCGCTGAAAACAAGAGTAGTAAGATTGGCGAGTGGTTTGAAGTGCTGGAGTTCTTTGATATCTTCAACAGCGTTTGAAGAAATATGTAATTCAACAAGATTTGGTGGTGGATTATCGAATGGAGCAAGTTTGGCGATCTTATTTTCGTTTAAGTTAAGAACTTTAAGATTTGTGAATGTGGCTAAGAGATTTGGATCGATTGTTTTAATTTCGTTCTGATCGAGCATTAAACGCTCCAAATTTCCAAGTCCTTTGAACATTTCTGTTGTAATTTTTGTAATCTTGTTTCCGGTTAATATAAGAGCTTTAAGATTTGTAATTTGTGCGAATGCAGAATCTGTAATAGTTCTGATAAGATTTGATGATAAATCAAGCTTATCAAGTGATGGGAAAGGAAGTGTTGGTATAGATTTAATTCTGTTTGATGTAAGATTGAAAGTGATTAAGTCAGGAATTTCTGTAAACTCAGGCAACTCTTTGATTGCATTTCCATGGAGATCAATGTAAACTGCAGATGTCATCTTAGCAACCCATGGTACTTTTCTTAAAGCATTCTTTGCAAGTGAGATGAATCTTAAATGTGGATAATTTTCGAGGATTGCGGCATCTTTGATTTCTGCTTCATTCATTTGAAGCTTAGTATATGAATATTCCATATCAAATGCCGTATCTAGTATACTTAATTTAGGAATTAATACTTCAGGTGTCAAAACAATGCCTTCTACCTGTTCTTCTTCTTCCTTTTTCTCTTCCTCCTCTTTTGCTTTCTCCTCATCGTTCTTTTCTTCTTCCTCCTTGTTTCCTTCCTCTTCTTCGTTGATTATCTCTTCGTCACTCATAACGAACTATGTAAAGTTTACATAATTAAGGGGGAGAAATGTATTTTAAAAAAGTGACAGATCTTAATAGAAAAAAATGATTCCTTTGATAATAATTCCACCATTTCTAGGATCCAATTTATGGATATCATATAACAAAACAGATCTTCCATGGTATTGTCCAAAGAAAATGAATGATTCTCCACTTTGGTTATATCCGCCACTTGCAATCCCTCCTTTTCACAATTGCTTATTAAAATTACTTACACTAGAAGCAGATGAGAATGGTGAAGTATATCCATATACAAATACTACATTTAATCAACACGATTTTGGTGGTGTTGAATCTATCACTCATACATTAATATTCATCAATAAATTCATGCGTTTCTGGCCAGTGTATGCACCATTCGTCAAATATTTTGAAGAAAAAGGATACAAAGTAAAGAAAGATTTATTTGCAGCGCCATATGACTCCAGATTGGGTCCAAACAGAATTCCAGAGTATTACGGCAAACTAAAAGATCTTATTGTTGAAGCTTACAATAAAAATGGCCAGCAGAAAGTAGTTCTCTGCGGATTTTCTCTGGGAGGCTCTGTTTTGCAAAAATTACTCACAGAAAAGACAGACAAAGCTTTTCGTGACAAATATATTTCTAAAGGAGTTCTTATTGGCCCTGGATTTGGTGGTTCTATGCCATTCTTTAGAGATTTACTAACAAAAAGGACTTCTTACGTACCTTCTTTAGATAACGAGAATCTTAAGAAGTTAATTGAGTCATGGCCAACATTCCAGGAGATTATGCCAAACCCAATTCTCCATGAAGAAGTTCCACTACTTTACAATGAAGAGGGAAGTAATTTCAAAGGAAAAGATTTGAAAGAATTTCTGATAGCTCACAAAATTTTTGAGGGGAATTACTTGAAATCGTTTTTGAAGACATACGAAAGAGTTGGTGATTACTTGAAGGAACCAGATGTACCAATTGACCTAATTTACAATAGTGGACGCCCAACAATTGCTGCTTTAAACTTTACAAATGGATTTGACAAAATGCCTGTTGATATCATTGGAAAAGGCGATGGAACAATAGGATCATTTGGCCTAGAGAAGATTTGTAGCCTATGGAAGAATGCAAAATGCTACAATGTCGATTGTGATGGACCAACGTGCATCCATGGATCATTGATAAAGAATGTTGATGTTTTGGATGCTGTTTATAATACTACATATGGAAGAGCTATATCGTTGAACACAAAAAGAGCTCACAAACTAACAGATGATTTGTAATTTTTAATTTTTTTTTGTAAACTATATATGTATTGAGTATTTACTTAGCATTTTTGGAACTTAATGATTTTCAATTCTATTTCTGTTGATATGTTAAGTTTTCATTGAGGTTTCCTTAAACTTTGAAGATTTGCCATGTATTACAAGGGTGTAATAACTTTTTCACTAAGTGATAGGTTGGTTGTAAGAGATTTAGATTTGACAAAAATATTCAAAACTTATTGAATAATTTTACAAATTTATAAGTCATTAAGCAAATTTATTGCATTATGTCCTTTAATTCGAACCAATTTTTCGTACAAATTCTCTCTAAAAAGTGAAATTTGTTTTGGAAGCGCAAAAACTTAATTATCTTAAAGCAAAGCAAATTGCTAAAATCTCAGAATTTGATATAGACCGATCAGTGCGTGAATATGTTAGGGAATTAGTTGAAAATTCCTTGGATTCAGGCGCTTCTATGATTAACATCTCATTAATCAATGGTGGATACACAAATATCATCGTTTCAGATAATGGATGTGGTATTCCACGCGAAAACTTTTCTAAATTATGTCATTTTAACGCAACATCAAAATATAACGAAGAATCTCCCGATAAATACGATACATTTGGATTTCATGGAGCTAGCCTTGCATCTATTACTTGTTCATGCCCTACATTAATCACATCAAGGACTAGAGCCGAAAAAATTGGCACAAAAGGACAATTTAATTACTCAACTTTAGTCGGAGACTTACAAAACGCTCAATGCCAATATGGAACCACTATAGAATTGAATAATTTATCAGATTCTGTTGATCAAGCCGTAACAAAAAACATTCAAAATTCTCAAAGCAATTTAACCATCAAAAAACTTGTTCAATCATACTCAGCACTCTACTACAATATTTCCTTCAAATTACTCACTACACTACCTTACGAATCAATGACAAAGAAGAATTTAATCCAATCTTTGAGAGCAATTTATAATATTCAAAATACGCCCATGCATCCTATTTCAAGAACTTTCGAATGCAATAACGTTAAAGCAGCGCTTTTCGTTACTTTACCAGAAGCAACTTCGATTTATCCACAATTCGTTTTCTTTTTGAACGGCCAACGCATTAAAAACAAAGCCCTTAAGAAGTCAGTCAAATCTGTCTATCAGAGATCAGGAAATATTCATACACCAGTTGTATTTATATTATTTAGCGAAGAAACACCACAATTCAAATTTATTCCTACGAATTACCCATTTCCAAATCAAATCAGGATGTCAGGCGAGCTCGAAACCATGGTTGAAGAAGCTATCTCGATTATCAGAAAGGATGGCGACGGAGAAATCGATTTTGACATCAACGAATACAGAAAGGGCAACAAAATACCTAGATATCCGATCGAAATTCAGCCAGAAATGCAGAATCCATACCTTGTCCAACAGCAAACTCAACAACCACAGCAACAGATGAGATACGACCACTACCAGCAGCAAGCCCAGCAACAGCAGCAACAGATGAACAGCTACGTGGCCCAACAAATGACACAGATGTCTGCATATCAGCAACCAACTTCACAAATGGCCCAAATGACAATGCAGCAACAGCAACAACAACAGCAACAAATGCAACAGATGCAACAACAGCAGATGCAGATGCAAATGCAGCAACAACAACAAATTCAATTACAACAACAGCAACAAATACAGATCCAGCAACAACCGCAGCCACAGCCGCAACAACAACCTGTTCAGCAACCTCAACCTCAACAGATTAGCCAGCCAAAGAAGGTTATTGTCGCACAACCAAATAAGCCAATGGTAAAACATATCGCAGCTCCAAAGAAGACCATTACAACTGTTGTTCCACCACCTCCACAACAATCCCAACCCATGTATTCTCAAATCCAACAACAGCCAAGAAATCAGATTCAACAACCTCAACAACAGCAGCCACAGATGCAATATCAGACACAGTATCAGCCTCAGTACCAACAGCAGTACCAGCAGCAACAATACCAACAACAACAGTACCAGCAACAGCTGTATCAGCAAATTTACCAACAGCCACCTCCTCCTCCACCTCGACCAGCTACTCCACAGACAATACAACAGCCAGCACAAACAATGCCTTCGCCAATGCAGCCTGTTTCGACTCCTCAAGTTATTTCTCAGCCGAGGGTCAACAAGAGATTCCCAATCAAGAAGATCGTTATTTCTGGAACCAAATAAATTGTATCTACATTTTTTGTTAAGTTTATTCAACTATATTTATTTTCTATATTTATTATTATAATTTTTTTCAATATTAACTTACTAACTCACTTCTAAAGTACTTACATTTCCATAAAATGAGTAAAAATAGTATATAATACCAATATGAATATAGATATTTAAATAAAGCTCAGATGTTTACACAATGAAGGCATTATTTAATATGTTGTTCAGAAATAGCAATGAAATAAGTCTCATTGTATACTCCTTCCCTCAATGTTGATAAAATGCTTATTAAAAAATTTTGAATAAGAAGAAATAGAAAAGCCACTACTGTCGCAAAGTCCCATAGAGCATGCAGCTTTTGATGAAGAGTATCTCATATCAAAGCCTCCATCTGCGCGATAATGATATTCGCTCATTATGAAAAATGATTAATTCAAAATTTTGTCTAAAAATCTGTTGAAATATCACATCACAAATGATTCAATAATAAATATACATTTTTACAGTATTTAATATAACATATAGATATTTGCTAATTTTTACTATATTCATAAAGTTTATCTTTTGGAGTCAAAAATTTTTTCATATCATTATACTCTCAATTTTGAAAATTTAATATATTTCAATAACAAATCAATAGTACAATAAGATTAATCCTGTTCATATAAAAATTTGTAATGTGATGATGAGAGGTAGTCAAAAAGTCGAAATTCTTGCCTATTCAATTTTGATATCAACCCCTTTCTAAAAATTTTCGGAAATTTTTTCTCTCAAAAAGATTTTTTTGAATAAATGTAAAGTTTAGTCGGGATAAAAATATCATTAAAAAAAGGGAATCTGTTAAGTTCAACATGGGTGGTATGTACTGGTATCAAATTTTTGGCTTAAACAGGATGTTTTTGCCAAATAATTAAATTTGAATTGGAAATCTTTTCATCACTCTTGGAAAGTAAGGGATAAGCATGGTCTATAGAGGTCAACAAAGAGGTTCCACGTAACAAATTTTACAAGCGGGGTATTTCAATGACACGTTTCCATCGACCTTCTTTATAAATGATGCTCAGAAAAAAAAATTTTGAGAGAAAGAAAAAATTTCTTTGAAAATTTTTCCGAAAATCCAAATTTTTGGCACTTTTTCAATTGTCAATAAATTGTGCACAACGGGCCATATCTGACTTTAATTCAAATTTCTGACAGACGATTCGAAGAATCATTACATATTAAGTTTAAACATCATAATCGAACACCATGTCAAATGGAAGTAATTTCACTATTAAAACTTTCTGATATTCTCTCAATTTTTTTAACATTCAAACTTTATATCCCAATTTTCTAAGTTCAAAAGTTAATATTTTTGGTTGGAAAAAGTTTATAAAAATCACTACATAGTTCATAATCATACAGCTGAACATATTGACATTTTGAGAACATGTCAAACGCCATAATTTCTCTGAATAATTTTTTTTAAATCAAAACTTTTTTTATGACATAAAGAAAAAGAAAATCAAATATAATTTTTAAAATAAATTAAAAGTGTTATTATTACTAGAACTCTGTGGTTGATTTCTTGGAGGACCTTGTGGGGACAATTGCATTCCATTTCCTTGAGGAACAGTCCTCATTGGTCTGTTCATTTGTTGTTGAGGAGATTGTTGGCCAAATGGTTGAAAATCATTCTTCTGTTGCTGATTGAACGCGTTGAAGTCATTCTTTGGTTGTTGGTTAAAAGCATTGAAGTCATTCTTCGGCTGCTGATTGAAAACAGCGAAATCATTCTTCGGCTGCTGGTTAAAAGCATTGAAATCATTCTTTGGCTGCTGATTGAATGATTTCGGTTGAGCATTGAATGCTCCGAAATCTGTAGTGTTTTGTTTCGTTGACGGCTGAGGAGATGGGAATCCTGCGTTGGAGCTCTGCTTCGTCTGTGGTGTTCCGAAGTCTGCCGTGTTCTTCTTAGGCTGTGGAGATGAGAAATCAGTATTGAATGATAAATTATCGTTCTTTGGCTGAGAATTTTGAGGAGTGGCCGAAGGAGTGGAATCGAATCCGAAATTGAAGGATGCCAAGGAGTTAGCGGAGTTCTTTGAGTAATCCTCAAACTTGCTAGGCGTAGATGTCTTTGCGGCCAAGTTATCTAATGCAATTTGTTCAGGTTCTTGGGCTTCATCGAGTTTTCCTGCTTGTTTGTATGCATTGATGGTGCTAAGCATCCAATTGCATAATCTCTTCTGCACGTAGGCCTCTGTAGCCGAGTTTGAAATCACATCTGCTGCAAATGGCACTGCTCTGTTCATCATTGTCTTGTGGGATGCTTTGACCTTCTCTATCATAGCGCATATAGCTGAAGCAACCGATGCGCTCTGGTGTTTACGCCATGCTTCATAGACTTTTGTAAGTTGAGTTCGGAGGAAGTTCTCATTGTCACTTTTTCCAAGACAGATGGTAATGCAATTTATTGCAGAAGAGACAATGGCTGGCTCCTGGACAGCAGTAATGAGTTCGACAAGCTTAGGAAGAAGGCCTGTTTGTATGGATGTCTCGTTCATTTTCTCAACAACAAGAGGAAGTTTTTTGAGGCATTCTTTCTGTAAAACGTCATTATTTGACTGTAAAGCGTTAAATATGATTGGATAAACATTTTCTGCATGCAATTTTGAGTCTGTCTTATCGAGAATTAGTGGTAAATTTTGTAATAATGCGATCGAAACTTGAGGCGGGTCTGTAACCTTCATTAAGAAGGCAATCTGCTTAAATACTGAATCTGTAAACTCTGATACTGTAAACTTTGCCGAAGCATTGAAGATAGAGCCAAGGAGAACGGGAGCAAATCTGATATCTGCCTTTGACTCAGAGATAAGTAATGGTAATATTCTGCAACGGTTCATCATTGGTGAAAACTGATCGATTGTCTTCGCGAGATTCTTGAAAAATACGAATTTATCCTTTGGATCTTTTGCAATTATCATATCTAAGTAACGTAAGATTTTCATTTGCATTGTTGCGAAGGCTTCACTTTCTAAAATGTTTGTGAAGTCAGGACGAGTACTTGCGTCGATATTTAAGCAACCTCTGAACAAATTCATGTAATTCGTGCCAATTCCTGAAATAGATAGTATAGGATTACGTCCAATATCGTATTCTCTCTTATCCTTGCAGAGTAGGAGTGGTTTTCCAGAGATACATTCGTAGAAAACTAAAGCAAATGAAAAAACATCAGCAAGGCAAGTAGATTGACGGCATTGGACAACTTCTGGTGATGAGTAAGGAAGTGGTGGGTATGTGATTTCTGTAAAATATTGCGTGAATGGTAAATTAATATCTTTTGTTCCATTTATAGGAACTGACCAATCAAAATTGAAAAGTTTAACCGACAAATTCTCATCCAAAAAGATTGCTTCTGGGGAAATGCCTAAATGAGCCATTTTTGCGTTATTATGTAAAAATTGCATTGCATCTGCAAGTTGGAAGCAAATATAAGAGGCATCATCGCCATTAAGACTTCCTATTAATGTCTGTAAGCTTGACGAAATTGGTTCTGAAGCGAATCCTAAACTAGAAGTCGACTCTTGAACTTCAAGAATCTTCAAAAGATGAGGATGTCGAAGTTTTCTTAACTTTTGAATACCAGCAAGCGATCCAGATAAGTATTTGTCTCTTACTGCTTGATCTTGGATCTCTGCAGTGATTTTCTCTTGATCAATCAACCAAAGAGAAACGCGATCATGTGTTGTTTTGTTGACAGCTGAATGGACTTTCCAATATCCAATGGTAAATATGGGGTTAACATTGTCATAATTGGCTGAAATTCCTGACCCTAAAAGGGCGGAAAAAAATCTTTTCATTTTTTTGACAATTTTTCCTTTCATTTTATCGGCCCGCAGCGCCGAAAAAATTAAGAAGTAGTCCAGAAGCTCAAAATCAAAATAACAATATATAGATATAGAAGGTCAATATTTATACACTATAAAAAATAAGATGCTGAATTGAAAATCAATATCGTTAATAATACTAAATGCATATGGGTATGAGAGGAATTTGATTCGTGCAAAGCCATTGCCGTAGTGGCCTGTTTCTTCATTTCCACTAGGAGAACGAAATGTTTCTGATCCACTTTGAATTCGAACATAATAACCTGACTTTTTATACGAAGATCCGCCACCACCACCTGCCTCATATGCCCCACCTCCTCCATAATATCCCCCTCCACCACCACCACCATTGAAACCTACTCCTGTTCCTTTCCCTCCTTTTTTAACTTTTCCATTTTCTGCTCTATAACCCCCATAATAACCTCCCATTCCTGAGCCTTCTTGGCTTGCGCCTCGTCTATGTTCAGTCCCCGTGCGTGATATCCCATCAAAGCCAACTAACCCACCTGCGTTGCCACCATTGTAGTCATTCCCACAACCCCCACCACCAGCGGCAACAGCAATTCTATCGGAGTCCAAAAGTGACAGACCTATTGAAGTAGATCCACCACCACCGCCGGCTATCAGAGACTCACCATCATTGAATGTTCCTTGGTGTGAATCACCACCACCGTTACAACCGCCTTTTACCATAGTTATATTAGAATAAGTCGAAGTTCTGGCTACAAAGATCGTAAAATTTTTCGATTCAACGAGATTTAGACGAATCCATACATATGCTCCTTTACCGCTTCGTTGTTTCGTATTACATCCTCCGCTTGCACCCCAAAGTTCGACTAAATACTCTCCAGGCTTTAATTCTACAGATTGAGGTGCTGCATCCACAGACTCATTTAATTTACATGTACACGGATATGATGTTTCCATTTGTTATCAATATTTTCGACACAAGTACATTGAAAAGTTTTTTTTTCATTTACATTTAAGTTTCGAAAATTATTTCGACTATTTTTTTTCTTAAAATAAACGATATGATTACTTTAGAGCCTAAAATTTTGGTATATACTTTTAAAACGGTTTCATTTTTTCGATTTCAGAAGAAATCAAATTTTAATTTGAAAGATTGCCTAAATATTTTGATTAGTAGTGCCCAGCATAACGTACTAGGTGTGGGAATTAAACCAAGAAACATCACATCATCATTAAGAGACGGAAGAGTCCATTAATTTATCATCAAATAAGTTTACAAAAATTAAGAGTCTAAATTATCTTGGAAAACATACATAAAATAAATAACATTTCAAATACCGTCAATGGAACTAAAAAAGAATGAAAGCACAGGGATGTGTAATTTTGATGTTTTTGCATTCATCATATGAAAGTCATCCTAATATTGGCATTATGACTACCCACCATTCAGTAACTATTATGGTAATGAAAAAATTATTAATACTGATCATTAAATAGCAGACTGAGAGAATCTCCCATTTGATGATATCCTTAATTGTTTATAGGAGAAAGTAAGATCTAATTACTAATACAAAACTTGGATAGATGTCTAAGAAAAAGATTATATTTTTAAAATTATATCTTTATATTCTTTTTAATGTAACAAAAATTATATTTGACTGGCTTCATTGTAGAATAATTCAGCTATATTTTTGATTTTTTCATCATCATCCTGCATGTGGATTTCAGCTATTGGAATTAAATCCTGAATCAGTTCAAAAAGCTCATCAGATTGTAATTTATGGAATGCAGAAAGGATTATTGGGAAACATGCATATGCTACTTCAGAAGATTCGCAATAGTTTTTGATATCTTCTGCAATTTGCTCATCAAACCATTCTTCGAAATGGAGATAAGCAATGAAGCAGTTAAATGTACTAACATTACAATTAAAATTAGAAGAACCGTAATATTTCTTCATAAGAGTACAAACTTGTTCATCAATTTCGCCTTCCCACGCATCATGAAGATGTCTTAAACAATTTGATGCAGCACTGATAAAATCTTGTTGGCTTTTTTGTAGATCGAGATCTTCTTTGTCAAGTTCTGTTTCTTCAATCAATTTAATAATGATTTTAGCATAATCTAAAGGAATTGTGACATTTTCAGCAGGAATGTCGCATATAAATTTCCATGTTTCAATGTATTGCTCATGTGTTTTGTTATCTTGAAGATTATAAAATTGTTCCAAAAAATTATTCAAAGAAAACTGCTTAATTTCATCCGATTCGCCATTAATAGATAGGAAATGAAGTGTTGCAATGATTTCTTTTCTTACATTTACATCATTTGAAGTTTCAAAGTAAGGAATAAGATTAATAAATTCATTTTGTGTTTCTGGGCTATTTTTATACATTTCTCGTATAATTACAACACCATAGCCTGACGGAGGAATTTTTTGAATTCGTTCTATAAATCCATTTTGGTAAAAGAATTCAAAATATGCATAATTATATTCAATGAGATCAGATATTATTGCAAGGCAGTCGGAGCAGTTTTCTGCAGGACATGAATGAAAAATTTCGTTCAGTACGCTGATGTTATTCTCTGTATATAATTTTAACTTTTTTGTAGAAGGGAATTTAATAAATGTTGATATAATATGCAAACCTTGGTAGAATAGATTCTGATTTTGCGTACTAATTTCTAATAATGCATTGAAATAACCAACAAAATTAAATTTTGATGCAAAAAATAATTTTTCTTTTGAAGTCATTCCTTGAGAACGCTTATTTACACTTGTAATGAAAGTTTCTTGATCATATTCATGATTAATAAACTTTTCTAGATTGTCTAGGATCATTATTGACAAAGAAAAAGCTTTTCTTGGGGAACGATGAACATTTTTCGAATTGTCCTTGGACGGAATACTAGTGTTGTCATTCTTTTCTTCTTTGTTTGATGTACGCATTCCGTTATACTGAACAAATTAATAAATAAATGAGCTTTATAAGAACAACTGAATGACTATGGCATTAGAATTCGCATACATTTATTAACCCCAATATCATTTGAGCTCATTACTTAAGAAAATTTAATACAAGGTCTATATATTATTCAATTCAGGCTTGCTTCTGCTCAAATTATATTAATACCCAAGAGAAAAATTGAAATTTAGTGTTTTTAAAGCTAGAAAATGAAGTTTATGAAATCAATAAAGTTTTTTAACGATATTAATCATATAAGAGCTTGTTAATAGATACATCTCAGCATATTACTTAGAAATATTTGCATGCAATAACGATTTGCATTAAATTAATTTGTAATCTCGACGTAAAATGGTTAAAGTAAATTGTTTTTTGAAAAATAGCATATCATATGATAATTAATAGAATCTTAAAAGATAAAAATTTTCCTCTCAAAAATTTCATTGAGAATATTGAATGAAAAATTTTAGTTTGAACACTTTATTTGAGATCAAACCGTAAAATTTGAGATAAACCGAATGGTCGAAAATTTCATCATTTTTTCCCAAGTAGTCTTCACTTAGCGTGCTCCCTTATACGCCAAGAAAGTTACCGTTCCAGGTATAGGTTGACCATTACGAGTCAAGTTACGGTCCATACATATACAATTTGAAACATGATCGTATTCATCCAATTTATCAATACAATGTTACTAACCAAGTTTACAAACAATAACCTTTTACTGTGAGATGACTTTACTTATCACGAAGGTTTACAAACGTTTTTAATTTCAAAGTAAAAACAATGTTTACCTTTATTGGGAATGATACAATAGCTTTTCACACAGGTTTTTGTCCATTGATTACAGTCGTACTAAACTTAGAATTAATTTATTCAATAATTACATAATATACACAAAATTCTACCGTATACTAGTTTGTATTAAAATATCATTGAATTTTTAATCACAATTTCTTATAATCAGTTGTTTGGTTAATCCACATTCTGATGTTATTCGATATTGAGGTTTTTCGTGTTATATTTTTAAATTATCTAGAAAACAATTAATTTCTATGTTAGGTTTCCTTGATTATATACTCATTAGGTTCATTTTAGTTCCATGTTCGGTTGTTTATCATTCGTCTGTTGTTGCAAACACAGATCTTACTTAATTCCAGTTTTTATATGAGACAGGTATCGATAAGAACTAGTTACCTATTATTTCTGAGTTATTAATCATGAGAATTATCTATTTTCATCTGTTTTAGGTTTCATTTCAAGATCAAGTTACATGATCAAGCCATTTTCTTTCATTTACATAGTTATTTAGTCTTTTTTGTTACAGGAGGACACAAACAGTTACAAATCATTCTTACAGGAAGAGTTTTTAGTACAAATCAACAACTCATTTTAACAAATTTCAGTCAACACTCTCAACATCCAGGGTCAATTCAACAGTTAGATCAAAAATACAATCAAGTACATTTAGAACAACCAATCAACAAGATCAATTTAGTCAACAAGTTCAAGCATTTTCAGTAAAACAACACAATCAAGACATTGTTTATGGAGCCTTTTTACAATCAAATAACTCAGCCTTTTACATACATTCACACAGTTTTACAGATCAAGAGTATCAATGACAAATCAGCTGCATTTATTACAACCAAACAGATCAAGGAGGTTTCATTTACAACTTACAAATCAAATCATTTCTTCAGGAGGATTTTCAACAATTACAGTTGTCAATTCATATCAATGTTTCAGGAGGAGCTTCAATTACAAATCAATTCATTCAATGATACAACCATTTACATTTAGACCAGTCTTTCATGCCTTTCTTCAATAATACAAAGATTTTATTCAATCTACAATCAAGCCATTGTTTTCTCGAAGTCTTTTTCTGTCACAAGTATCTACAATCAATTAGTTTTCTCTTTTCTGGAAGTCTTTACTTCAATCAACTTACACAATCAATCTTCAAAACAACTCAGCCTTTTACAATCAACAACACACAATTATACAATCAATTACAAGTATCACATTCAGTTCAGGAGGTTCAATTACAGACAATCAGTTGCCTTTATTACAATCAGATACATTTCTTCAGGAGGGTTTTCAACAAACACATATCAATGATTCAGGAGGATTTCTACAAATCTGGAAGTCTTTTTCAATAAACAATCATATGACAAATCAATCAAACAAGCCTTTTACAGTAAGAAGTTCATTTACAATCAATTTCAGATTCAACGAAGCATTTGTTCAATTGTCTTTTATAATCATTTCAACACTCAGGAGGATTTCAGAACATCAACATTCAATCAAATCAGCGAATCAGGAGGATTTCAACATACAAATCAATATCAATAGCATTTTCATGCCTTTTCATTCAATCAAATCAATGTCTTCTCATTGCCTTTTTTGCATTTCATAGCATTTTGTTCAACAAATCAAGTACAGTTTTAGGAGGATCCAACAAACAATCACTGTCTTTTCTCGCATTTATTCAGATACAATCAATTCAAGAATAATTCAAATACAACATCTCACAAAATAGTTTGCCTTTTTAGATATACAATTTCAAATCAAAGTTACACTTAATGATTCAGGAGGATTTACATACATTCATACAACAAATTAACACATTTTCAATCAGTTTCAAACAGGATACAGGAGGATTCAACTGTTCTATCATTCAAAACAATCAATTACAATTCAAAACAATCTACAGATTCAGGAGGATTTTCATAATCAATTCAATCAAACAAAGTTCAATTTCAGGATGTCTTTTCTAGCATTTTTGATTACTTTTCTATCATTGTTCAATTCAGTCAACTACAAATAGATTTAGGAGGGTTTATATCAATGCATTTCACAAGATTTAGGAGGAACTTTTCAAGCAGTTTTTGCCTTTTCAACTACAATTAATTTCAAATCAATTTACAGACAAAGATTCAGGAGGAGATTCAATCAAATGCATGTCTTTACTTGCCTTTATTTACAAACAACTAACATTCAGTCAATATATCAGGAGGAGATACAAGTTTCAAATCCGACTCAGGTCGCATTTATTAACCTTTATTTTACAAACAATTATCAATAAATCAATTTTAAACCAGATTCCAAGAGGATTCAACAACAAACAGATACAATTCAATACATCAATTTGCCTTTTCATGCATTTTCTGCCTTTTGTACAGTCAATTCAACACATTCATAAACAGGTTTTCATTCAGTCGAATACAAATAGATTCAGGAGGATTTCAATCAATCATTATCAACAAATCAACACACGCATTTATAACAAATCATTTCAGGTTTTGCCTTTTCAACTACAATCAATTTCAAGATGTTTCATTTACTAGTCAACACATTTAGCATTTACATGCATTTTCTAGCATTTATTGCCTTTTATTTACAAACAATTAGCAACAATCTGGAGGATCTTCACAAGTATATTTCAGTCGAAGTTTCAGGAGGAGCTTTCACAAACAATCGTTTACACGCAAGACATATCAACAAATTTCAGATTGCATTTTCAAGTTTTCGCAAATATAATTCGTTCGAAGTTTCAGGAGGAGTCATAATCAATCGATGATACAATCATTCAGTTACTTTCATATCATTCAATGTTTCAGTTTTCACAGTTATGAATCAGGAGGTTCATTATTCAAATTCAAAGAGAGATAACTATTCAAGGTCTTTTTCAGGTTCCTTTTACATTGATAGAAGTTTTTTACAGCATTTTGCTCTTTCTTTCTTCTATTAGTTATTGTTATTGAAAGGTTTTTTTATTATATTGTTTCCCACACTTATCAGCTTACTTTCTCTTTCTTTTCTCTCTTTTACTGAAGTCTGGTTTTTCTTGCCTTTGCTCGGCTTTCTTTTTTTCCCTTCCAAAGACTATATTTTTCTCTTTATTCTTTTATTTTGTTTTGTTTTCGACTAAATTACTGGTCTGATTGGCAACACGAAACATAAATGCCTCAAACATTTAGATCCAATCAGACCTCTTTACCTCAAATTTACTATTTTTTTTCTCTTCTTTTTTATTGAAATTCAAAATGATTTCTTACATTTCATTTTGAGTTTTGACATATTAAGTGAAACAGCTTATATATCGTCATAGGAAATCAGTAGCATTGCGAAATTGTGCAATTTCATGATCTTATCGAATGGAATTTTTATTATTCAAAACATGAATATTTCTCGTAGTCTAAATCTCAATAATTCTTCTATAAATCCCATTTTATTGATTGATAATGAAAGATTTCAAAGTTAATTTTCATTTTACAATTCGGTTGAGATTTTCTCAAATATTACGAATTATTTATGCATAAGTTGTAGCAAATATGCATTGGTAATCTTTACACAAGTGGAAATGTTTGGCAATAATTTCGTTTAAGAAATAGACAGGTTGATTCACACGAAACGCTACAAATACAAATCCAAACATCGCTCTTATGATTATGATAAAGTAGTTCTTCCTTAAAAGAGTATTTTTTTTAGAATTCTCCAAATTCTGGGGGAGCGGATTGGAAAATTTACACCTAGAATGAAATCTGGCCATAGATTTGCAAGATGGCATACAGTGGAAAGGTTATAACAATATATTTGACAACTTGTAAAAAAAAAACTAATGGCTAAAATTTGAGGATAGATTAGGATATTCGGGAATGGATTTTTCGCATTCAACTCAATATGAATCCATTAAAATTGGAAATCCGACAAAGAAAGAGTTTATATAGGAATGGATTGAAATTTGGATGAACCGTAAAAATGATGGAGGTTTATAACAAAATATTTTTTATAATAATATTCGCTCTGTATATGGCAATCCTGAACATTGGAAAATTTTATAATGCCCAAACTTCTTCTGAAAATATTTTTTCCATTATCCTCCTCAGTAAAGAATAACTTCAAGATTTAAATGTATATTCTTCCACTCATTGTCTTACAAATGAAACCACTTTTCAAATTGAATTTGTAGAATTAAATTGGATGGCACTTTTTTTTGTGATTTGGAACGATGGATGGTGGGGAATTAAAAATCTCCATCTTCATCAATGAGTCCACTCCAACGGAATATAAGCCCTGGAAAAGCCATAGAAGCGAGGTTATATATAAAGTTGGTGAATTATTGATGCACATCGAAGATTCCATGATAATAAGGACATTTGATTCCTGGGAAAAGTCTCTTAAGGACCTTATGTCGGAAACTGACATCTCAAAACAGATGAATTTCCTTCTCGCGGTATCCGTTTTGCACTTTTTCCAACGAAATATCAATAATATCCGATTATACAGCGATCACATCTATTGTTTGCTGCGATCACCAGTGCAAGATGTTTACTATACAGCTACTGAAGTCTTACATATCATTGCCAATGAAAGTATTGACGGAATTCAGTTATTAGCGAAGCCTGTTGAAAATGCATTCAATTGGATAAAAGAGACCAACAGCTCTCTTCATAAGAACGCTCTTCGGATCTTTATGAAGACGAAACAAATAAATGAGCTGAATATAATTGAAAGAATTGCAGCTTCCTTCAATCATTTCTACGATATTATCGTGTGCGATAACATTGATTTAAGACGCATGGCCAGCCGCATCATCCATTCGGTTCTTTTAACCATTTCTTTCCAATCTACGAATCCATTTTCGAAAATTATGATAGGCAACTTCTTCAACAAGTGCATTCAGATCTTTTCCAACCAGACATCATCCGACGAGCGTCTTCATGGCGCAGTTTTGCTCATAAGATCGATTTACGAATTTCAACCAACGATAATCAACGAAGAAAAGCAAAGAATCACTACCGGCTTTATCGAACTTACAAATAAATCCGAGGACTTCCTTGCTATCGATTCGTACAATCTCTTTCTCGATATTGGAAGAAAAACAGATGCAATTTTTTCTTCTTCATGTTTACAAGCAATCCTCGACAACCTTTTGGAGAAAGTCAGGGAATCGAATGAAACAGAGTCCTACTGCGACATTCTGGTCGAAGCCATCAAAGTTTACGATGAAAGACTTGATCTAAACAAGATTACGGAATTCTGCGTTGAAACTATACTCAATGAAAGCGTCTACAACATTACATGCCAGACATTTAAAGTTCTGGCCACTCTGATCGAAAGAGATCCAGACACAAAATTCGACCACGCTGTTTTCAATCGTATGTCTTTCCCTGACCAGGCAATAAAATGCTTACGACTTATGACAAGAGTTGACCAACCAATAGTTGATAATATCTGCGAAATAGTTAATAAGGGATTATCTTCCTCAAATAGTATCGCGAACACAATACAAGCACTCAAACTAGCAAGAGTATTCGAACTAGATTTGTTTGATACCCCGGATAAGCTATACGATGCTATTTCGCCACTAACTCTTATCGATGACGAAAAATTACAACTCGAAGTCATAAAAACAATAGCTTTGGCGGAAAGTTCAATGTCTAACGAGTTCCTTTTGAACACAGCTTTGTTCGGAAGATACGAAACTGTTCGACAAAAAGCAATTAAGAAATTACCAGCGACACCTGACGTTTCTACAAACCCATTACTATCGCAAATACTTTCTGATCCATCCATGGAGATGAAAAAGGCTGCGATCGACATTATTGCCCATATTTGCGAATATAATGCTTTTTTATTACAAGCGCCGATCTTTTCGTTGGTCGAAGACATCTTCGCGTCAATCTCCTCAGCGAATAATTTATCCAGATCGGTAGAATTGGCTTCTCTTCTCCCGATAATCGCAAATAAATTAACAAATATGATAAAACCATTGACAAATGCGATAATTATTGGATGCATGAGCTGTATCTATCCAGATATGCAGCAAATAGAGCACTCAAACAACGTCTTTGCCTATGAAATTGCGAATGTCCAACAGAAACCACAAGATTTACTGAAAAGAGACGGTTTTCAGTTCATCTCGACCACAGTACAGATGGAACCGACCAAGAATTCCGTGTTCATCCGTATAAATCAGAACAATTTGGACATAAGAGACGGATATCTCCTCCAAACAATCGCCGAATTCGCTCACGACATCACTCCTTTCCTCGATTACGCTCTAATGGTCTTCTATCGGATCTTTACAACGAGGACAAACCACAAATTGTTGACTGTCGCAGCGACATCACTGGCCAAGGTCACTTCCGGCATCGGAAATGGTCTGAACCTCAGACGTTACTGCCCACAGTTCATCCCAGCGCTGACGAAAGTCCTCACAACGACGAAATCTCAAAAAACTGCTATTGCCATTTTGAAATTGCTGGGAACATCCATAGACAACTTTGATAGTAGTGCTATGCACAGTGATGAAATGGACTTGGAATTGTCCGTCGACTTAACGAAAGATTCTTATTACACAGATTTCGTTTTATCCCACCTTTCCAAGTACTTTTCGCATCCTTCCGATGAACTACTTGAAGCTGTCACCCGTATTTTCGAGACTTCCCCACAAGACGCCGCCAAATTTGTCGGCCAAGTCATACAAGTCTTCATTAGAACGATCGAAACCACCAAAGTTCCTCGTCGTTACATATTGTACAGCGAGTTGGAGCAGATTACAGCCTCATGTCCCACTGAAACTGAAGAACATTTGCCATCTCTTACGAAATGCTTACTCCAACATGTATCGGAACAAGGCTGCATGCTTCTCTTGGCATGCCTATCATATACGTTCATGGGTGCTTTCATTCCTTTCTCTCGTTCCCTGTTTTTGGCCGCATTAGGCTGTGTAATTAGGGAAGAAAACGTTGCAGAGACGCTCAAATTCATTGCATTCAGTGTTTGCTACCAGAACCAGCCACTTTCAATGATGTTGGACGCTTGCGAAGACCTGATGAACAACAGATTGACAGATACAAACGCCAGGAAGATCGCGAAGAACCTTTGTATCATTGTACAATCAATGGATTCATCAATGCAACAGGCCAGAATCGCAAGAATTGTCAGAACATTGTATCAAATCATTCCAAAAGATTCTTTCCTTACAACATTGGCATTTTCTCTTGCCATCACCTGCAAAATGACAGAACACGTTGCCAGACAGTTCATTCCTCTATCAGTAGACACATCCAAGCTCTACAAAGCTCTTAGAGAAGGAGTTTTCGACATCAGGGCCACAGATTTCATTGAAATCATCGCGATCAAGTTCTTACCGACACAAATTGCGATTCCTGACCAAGAAAAGACCGTTTCCTTCTTCGATACATGCAAAGCACCACCTGAATTAGGCATGAAAACATGGTTGGAAGATTTATGTTCATATACAATCAAATCTTCACCATCAAATGTCATCAGGAGTTGCTACACATTTGTAGAGACACAAGTATCATTCAAGCGATCATTATTCCCTGTTGCTTTCCTTTCGTGTTGGGCAGTTGCTTCCACTGAATCTCGTAATCATTTCTCAGAAGTTGTTTCTCAAATAGCTTTGCAACAAAACCACATCAACCAAACATTGTTGCAGTTAGCAGAAATTGCTGATAGAGCTTTGAAACCATTTAATGTTCCTTACGATGTTTTAGGACATATAAGTGAATCAAAGCCATTAGCATTATACTTTTTGCAGAAAGCTCATCAAAAAGAGCCGAATAACACAAAAATTGTTGAGAAACTGTTGGGAATGAACAATACAATGGGAAGAAACAAGTCAGCGCAAGGATTATTGGCACAGACATCTACATGGCGTGATAAAGCAAGTTCTGCAAGATGGAATGAATGTTTAGGAGAATGGCAGAAAGCATTAGATTTATATGATGTTTCTCCTGCAACTTTGTCAAGTAGAATTAGATGTAATGCACATTTACATAAATGGGAACAGATCAGACAAATGGAAGATGAGTTCTGGAAGATGTCTCAAACAGATCAGGAAATAAACGCAAGACATTTGGGTTGGGCTTTCTATCATTCAGAAGATTTCAATAAATTGACAAAAATCTTCCATTGTTTCCCACAAGAACCAAGTCACTCAGATATCACTCTAAAGGCTGTTGTTGCATTGAGATTGAACAAATGCAAGGACGCACAAGACTTAGTGGATGTCGGTTTCATGGCTATCGCTAAAAACAGGAAGTTCTTCAATGGTGGAGATGCAAATAGAGCTGCTCATAATTTAAGTACCGCACAGTTGTTGATTGAAATTTCTGAAGCCATTAAATATAAAATCCTCAGAAATTCCAATCAAAAAGAAGTATGGAGCAGAAGATTGAAAGGATTCAAGAGAGATGGAGACACATGGATCAAACTGATACAAATAAGATCATTGATATCTCTTCCTGACTCTGATTTCGGTGTTTACTTGAAGATATTGAGTGTTTTGAGAAGAGAACAAAGATGGGACATAATTGATTCGTATATTGACAAACTCGCGATGAAAGGAGCTCCTCCAGAAATTGTTTTAGCAAGAGCGAAAATAGAATGGAGTAGAGGACAAAGAGAAGAAGCAATTGACTCATTGCGAAGTATATTAAACAGAGACATGTCTCCTAATGTTTCTGCACACGTTCACAGGAAACTCGCTGCTTATTTGTCTCAAGCACATCCTGAAGAAATGCATTCCGTCGCTGATTTGTATAAAGAAGCAACAGAAATCTGCGCAAACGATGCAAGAGGATGGATAGGATGGGCTTATTCAAATAACGCAATTGCACAAAGAGAAATGAGTGAAGATTACGGAATTAACTCTGTTTCAGCTTTCTTGAGAGCAGTAAGTCTTTCTCAGACAGGAAACTTGGAGTATTTGATCTTGATGTTCGCAACTTTCTTCAAGATCCAGGATTCGTCAAAGATATCTGACCAACTCGCTGATGATTTGCAATCATTGAGATCTGAAATGATTGTTCAAGTTGTTCCGCAAATCGCTGTACAAATCGCTCACCAAGATCCGAAAATTAAAGGAATTGTTCATAAAATACTTACGAAATTTGGAAATGACCATTTCCAGTCAATCATGTTCCCTCTTGGAATGTATTCATTCGATGAATCGAAACAAGATCCAAAGGCACAAGCAGCAACAGACATTTTGAACAAACTGCAGAAGAAACACAAAGATGAAGCAAAAGACGCAAAAATCTTTGTCCAAGGAATGTTGGATGCAGCTCTTACTCCTTTCGAAAGATGGGTAATCGCATTGGATGAAGCAGCACAAGCACAAAGAGAAGGGAATACTCAGAAGTTGAGTTCTCTTCTTCAAAAGATGTTCTCTATAATCACACAGAAAAGATCCAGTGATTTGGACAGAAGATTCTACAAATTGCACGGACAAACAATTCAACAAGCTGCAGAATTATTCAAGAAGAACACAGACAAATCGATGTCGCAGATGTGGGATCTTCTCAAGCAGTTGTATCAGAATTGTTTGGACAAAACAAACAAACTAGAAATAGTTTTGTTGCCAAGAGTTAATGAAGAACTCTACACAAAAAGAGATTTCATGATTTCAATCCCTGGAACTTATTCCGTATCAGCGAAATCAGAAAAAATCAAGTACATCGATCCAGGATTGCAAGTCTTAGGAACTCAACAACATCCAAGAGTCTGCAAACTAATCTCAGAAAGCGGAAAAACAGTTAAATTCCTCTTGAAAGGTTCAGAAGATTTGAGACTCGATCAAAGAGTCATGCAGTTCTTCAACCTCGTCAACTCTTTGCTGAGACATGACGTGACAATGAGAGACCACCCTGACGCAGCAATTGTCGAATACGCAATTGTTCCTCTCGCGCCATCAGCAGGTCTAATAAGATGGGTTGAGAACGCTGACACACTTCACCAAATGATTTGCGATATGAGATACGCATACAACACATCGCAAGTCCCTGAATTCGATGTTTTGAATCAATACACTGGCGGTTTGTTCGGCCAATTAACAACTGTCCAGAAATTGGAAGCGTTCCAGAACATTGTTCGCGAGTGCCCTGCAAACGAAGTTAGAGATTTCCTCTGGTACAGGGCGACAAACGCTGAAGAATGGCTGAGAATGCAAGACAATTTCACATTGACAACAGCGTTGATGTCAATGATTGGATACGTCATTGGTTTGGGTGATAGACATCCATCGAATATCATGGTTCAAAGGGATACAGGAAGAGTTATTCACATTGATTTCGGAGACACATTCGAAACAACAATAAACAGAGCAAGTTATCCAGAAAAAGTTCCGTTCAGACTCACAAGAATGATTGTGAATGCTTTGGACGGAGGAAATGTCCAAGGAATGTTCACCGAATTGTGCATATCAACAATGAATGTTCTCAGACAGAACAAGAGTTCATTGGTTGCTCTTCTAGAGATATTCATTCACGAGCCACTTGAAGAATCATCGAATGAAAGATCTGGCCATCTTCCGCCAACAGAAACAATCGCTAGAGTCACTGACAAACTCCAGGGAACTGACATGAACCCGAATAAGTCTCTAGGAGTCGCTGAACAGGTTGAGATACTCATCAAAGAGGCTTCTGACTATACTTTGTATGTTTCTCATTATGCTGGTTGGTGTCCTTATTGGTAATTTATTTTTTATTATTGTTTTTATTTTGTTTATCTTTTTTTGTTTATTTAAAACCTTCTCTTTTATTAATTCTTAACTTTTCTTATTACATTAAGAAATTTTCTTTGATATGCTGCTTAATTAAGTGGAGTTATCCCATCAACACTTTTTGGTATCTTTCATTTTGATATAGGATATTTTTGCTTCGAATTGAAGTGATGTCCGAATTTATAATTTCGTTTCAGTTTCTAAATGCTTCAAAAAGTTTATTATTTATCATTCCCAATTTTTACTTCCAACTGCAATTGAGTACAATAAGAAAAATTGGAATATTAAAATTATAATATTGAAATGAGGTTGGAGAAATTCTTTTTATTCGAAAGAATCCATTCCCTCTGGTTCCAGTTAACAACTTTGTATTTGTAAATTTGATTAATGAATTCGGTTTGCACAATGGATGACCAGATATATAAGAACTCCCTCCACTTCCAGGTGTCGAAGTATAATGGCCAATTTCATGCGAACATGTCCCGCCATAATAACCCGCCCCGGACCCTGCGCCTCCTTCCGCTCCACCTTCACCCCAAATAGTTGCATCCCTACCATCTTCCCCTCTCCCTAAATCATATCCAAAAGTTTTGTTTGCCCCTATCGAGACAAAATGATCCAAATAGCCTTTGGCACTTTTCCCTTCAATTCCACCTGCATTTCCCCCATCATGAAACGACGCCCCTCCACCACCAGCCGATACTAATATTCGATTCTTTAAATCAATGCAATGAATATATACGGTTGTTGCGCCTCCACCTCCAGGTCCCGAAGTATATAGCTTAGATGCATTTCTGAATCCAAGGCCTCCATTTCCCCCGCCTCCGCAGCCCCCTTTTTTAAGAGTGTTGGATTTATCGTTATCCTGTCCAGCACCACCAACTAGTGCATAGAAGACTTCTTGACTAGTTAAATATAGAAAAACCGATGTGAAACCTCCAAGGCCACCTTTATAATTAGCATGAGGGAAATCTCCTCCTGACCAGCCCCAAGCTTCAAAAATATATTTTCCTCTTGGTAAAGATATTTTATAAGGCTGGCAATCTTCTCTAAATGCAAATTCAAGATAATCTAAAATTGATAATCATTTTTTTCTTACTTGAAATAAATAAAGTATATCGATCGTATATTCTTTGCTTACAAGTTCTGTATTGTTTGGCTATATTCTGATAGGATTATTGTTCGGTGTCACTTTTCAAAAATTGCTCAACGAAGATGATGAGGACAAAGTTATTGAAATTCAGTTAACAATGGTTATAATAAAGATGCAAAACGACATTCAAACTGCCCAACAACATATGAAATAATATTAACATTGCTTGTTCGAAGAATTGATGTCAAATTTTGGACTTTCTTTGGAACTCCACTCCCCGCCATTATATGATGCTAACATTGAACTCAACTAATGCTCAATTAAGGCGGAAGAATAACATAAAAAAGTTATTCAAAATAAATAGTATATATTTGACATTGTTATTGACGAACATATCATATTTTAATAGAACACATGGTAAGAACACAAAATATTTCATATCTTTATTCAAATCGATAATTTTACTCTTTGTTCCCTTGAATCTCAGGTACTAATTTCTTAACCAGTATTTTAAAATGAACAACCACCATATGTGCCACATTGGCTATTTCTAGTAGTTTGAGATAAAATAAATTCTTTTCCCATTAATAAACTCGATAAAGCATAAATTTCATCTTAACTACTAAAGGTGATTGAACTTTTCTGCTTAAAAAGTACATTTCAGATTGATTTTCAGACGCCTGCCATATCTTTCCATTTTTCAATGGTTAATTGAAAAATCTTTAATTTAAATCCTTAACACAATTAGAAATTATTATTTTATTACATTCATAAAATTTTTTTGCAAACTCTCACAATTTTTCAATAAGTTTAGAAACTCAGATTTTTTATAATCATGATAATATTTGTGATTTGTGTTTATTCTCTCTTGATTAAAATGTTTACCTCTCAAATTATTTTGATATTCAATTGCCATTTTTTTCAATATGATTTTTTTCTCTTTTCTCCTTACATACTAAAGCATATACTCAATCAGAGTTCGGATTCACAGGAACCGATACAGTACAAGTTCAGGAATGTGATTCGTTCGAGATTATCAAGGTTGTACCAAAACCTACAAATGTCAAACACATCAAAGAAGCAAAAATAGTCGATCCACCTATTCCTGATGATGCATATTCATGGCCTGGACATCCAGCAACTGCTACGATTGCTGATATGGATAAAGAACGCAATTTTATTTATTCACATTTCGAAGGAAAAACAGACTTGACCCAAGATCAATGTTACTATCATCCAGCCGGAATCAAACAATTCTATGGAGATGAACAATTGATAAATAATGCACCTCGCTACAAGATTAGAGTTTACATAAATACAAGATATACTGATAGACACTGGACGGCAATCTACGCTCCACCAGGAGAACTAATTACAATCGAAGTTCCACCAAACGCTGTTGGAAAGATTGGTGTTTGCTTCAATCATCATATCAATGATGACTCAGGCTATAGAACTCGTATGAGGACCCTCAAATCCTCAACCACTCTCAATAGAGAAGTTAATAACGTTAGCTGGCCATTCGGTGGCGCTATTACAATTACGAGCGGAATTGACAGATTCAACCAAGGACTTGAAGTTACGATAACAGGAGGTATCCGTATGCCATATTTCAGGTACGGCTACACTACAGACCAAGAATGGGAAGAAGAACTAAGTTTATTACCAGGACCATTAGCAAATATCGACATGGGCAATGCCATTGCTCAACTTCCAAGTAGACAGATCAGAGGTAAAGTCAAATTGAATGACGCTTGCGCGTTCTGGCGTTCAGCATCCCGTAATTTGTTTTCTGTCAATGAAATCAACGGCGGACCACGTAGAGATGACGGCAGAATCAAGCATCCAACACAATGGACATTTGATACATATGTTCCATTCGGAGAGGCAGCGACTGCCTACGGTGGAAACAGAATTATTTTCCCACCACATTGGTCTGAAGGCATTGTCAACTACGACTCCGCCAAATGGGGTTGCTGGGGCCAATTGCACGAGTACGGACACAATTTCCAGTACGGATGGGGCTGGCCATCATTTAGAGATTACATCGAAGTTACAAACAACGTTTTGAACTTGATTTCATACTCCAAACTAACAATGGTTGATTCCAGGAGACAGATGACAATGGGAAGAAACTACATTGTTGGTCCACAAAATGGAGGTCATGGAGAAACAACACACCAATTCTCTCTTATTCAGAGAAATGATTTGTTCTCATTTTACGCTAATTTCATTTATTTCTTTGGAACTGACAAATTCAGAAAATTCTTGCATGCACATAGATGGGATAAATTGTACAGTAGAAATGAATTCCCTTATATCTCACAGTTCTTATTAACTGCATGCGATATGTACAAACGTGATTTCAGAGATTATTTCAAGTCATTTGACAAAGTTTTTAATTATTCAGATCCTAACATCATTTCTCCAAGAGTTGATGAAATTCTCAACCAAAAGAATTATAAGAAATTCAATCCACTTGCAATTATATATCAAACAGGATATATAGTTGATGGAGAAGAATTCCAAACAGCCAAACCTTTCGAAATTCCTGCAAGATCTCCTTACATTTTCGAATTCTTAAGAAATTCAAGAAATAGAGGAGCTATGTTTGTATTAAGGGTGCACACGAGAGGATCATGTAAACTTCAGAATTTAGAATCTTATTTTTAGGCATTATCTTGGCTACCTATTTAGGCTCGAAAAGCAAAAAATATCAAAAAATACAACTTGACTCCATTATGACCCTTTCATGGAGGTAGTTTTTATCCGCTAGTATTTTCCCTTTGAATCTCTTTACAATTCGAAATCAAATTCAAAACTCAGTAGAAGAAAGGAAGAATCGACTTACTACGGTTGTAATACGAATAAATACATATATTTAATTATTTTTATTTACATAATAATTGTTTGAAGCTCATATTCCAACAAATTTTTAAATAAAAACATTAAAATGTTGAAAATGTTCATATATTTTAATAGGGTTTTGGCACTTTATTGAGGAATTACTACATACATAGTCGAACTGAACTTGATATTTTGAAATTTAAATTATTTATCAAAATTAAAATTTAACTTGAAATTTATAATTATTTAGTCATATTTTGCATAATTCTAAGTAGATTTTGTAAAAAATCAAGAAAGAAAAATTTTAACGTGCTTTATTTTTTCTTTTTTATAATAATACATATTATTATATAATTAACATATTCATAATGTTTCACCCTTTCAAAAATATAATCCTCCTCCTCTCAAATAAACGTACATACGGGTGGCCTCTTTTTTCAAAAAATTAAAATTTGAAATTTTGGGCTCAAATATTAGAGATTTTTTCAACCTTCAACGATATATGTTGTCTATATCAGACCTCCTTTCTTTTTGATACTTAACATTGTTCCTAAATCTTAGCCGTTAAGGCTGTTCTGAAAATATTTTTTTTTCGAAAAAATTCGAAAAAAATTCTTAAAATTCAAAAATCCCTTAATTCCTGAGGATTTTGGAAAAAAGTTTTTACATGAACATGTGTATATTATATGAAGTATATTGATAAGGTAAAAATCAAATTTTATTGCATATTCATCGAGAAAATAAACTAACGAATCCCTCAAAATTGAGAGGGTAATCCTCCTCCTCTCAAATAAACGTACATACGGGTGCACCCTTAAACAAAATTGATACTACTGGAACAGTTGGCACACTAACACAAATAGGAAATGCAGCAAAGTATACGCCTCCAGAAGATCAATCAATTATTGACAGATTTGTTGTTAAATATTCTAATTTTAACGAAGACAACGATGATGTTCACATAGTTGTTAAAGTTAAGCAAATATTTGATGGTGCAAGAGTTATGTACTATTCAGGAGTTGGCGTATTTACTAATCAAGTACTCGCTTATAAAGCTGCAATAGCAAGAAATATTGCTCGTAGTGCTCCTTATACATTAATTGAAAGGAGTGGAATTATTGTTCCAACATTTAGTACTGATCAACAAGAGTGTGAATGGTTTGCACATGTAGATGGAATGTTTGTTCCAAAAGAATCAGGTAAATACAAATTCATCATGTACTGCGATGACCAAGGAATGTTTTATTTGTCTGAAAATCCATTACATGGAAATCCAGATGATGATAGTCAATATTTGTTAAATAAGAAAGATAAATACACAGTATTAAATGAAACACAAGAAGCAACACCAATTAATCTTGTAGCAAACAAAAAGTATTACTACAGATTTACAATATTCAACAAACAAGGAACAGGTGGCGGAAGAATTGCTTATGTTTTCAATGATGAAACAGTAATTACACACATACAAACAGACTGTTTGTTCCAGACAAATTGCGGACCAGAAGATGTTGACAGAGCTCCATTTAAACCAATAATAGAAAACGATCCTTGCCTTGGTATTTACTACGACGACAGATCTATTAAACAAACTACAAAGGACACTTGGAAAGTTACTAATTCACCACATGTAAGAAATTCAAGATCGAATTTGTCACAGTTATTATTTAACAAAGCTTATGGAAATGAAGATACTGCTTGTGATGGAAGTTATCCACATACTTATTCAGTTGATTTTGGAGAGCCAGTTTCATTTGATCAGTTGTATATTCCTACAAGAAGAGATAATTTAATGACATCAAATGTTGTTGTAAGTTGCGATTCGAATCAAATTTTGGAGTCTAGTTTTACAACAGAAAATCCTTTGTTGCAATTTGATGGAATACAAACATGTACTACTCTTGACATAAAAGTATTAGATAATACAAGAGGAACATGGTCATCATTAGTTGAAATTGAACCAAGATTATTAAGTTCTACTTCTAGAAACATTATCCCTGCAACTCATACTAAACTGAGATTAGTTGGAAGAGGAGAGTTAACAAGAAAGGGAATGTATTATAATGGAAAAGGTTTCCATGTAAAGAAATCATCAATGTTGCGATTGAAGTTGAAATTAAATGAAACAGGAGATTCATTTGCAATTATTGGTGATAAATTCGAAAGAGGAGGAAGATTCAAAGTTTATATCGATGGACATTTGGATCAGGTTGTTGATACTAATGTAATTACTCCTGAAGAAAAGAGTAAAATGGCTGCAAGAAGAATTTATCAAACAATTCTTTACGGAAAGAGAAATTTGCAGACACAATCTGAACATTTAATTGTCTTGAAAGTTGTAAGAGGAGAAATTGGAATTGCTGGTTTCTTGGCTGATGGAAATTTGATTGAATTACCTTCAGAAGAAATAGCGAAACAAGGAGTTGTTGAAGGTGATGAAGAGGAAGAATTACCTGGAAATGATGAAGAAGAAAATACAGAAGAAGAAATAGTTGTTTCTGGAGATGATGATACAAATGATGATGATGATCATCAACCAAGTGAAGGCGGCACACAAATTCTTGGCGTTGAAAATGGTGGAGAAACAGGCAACGCAACTGAAGGATCAGAGAAATTCCAATCAGAAACAGAAGATCAAAAGAGACAAAGACAGGAAGAAGAAGAAAGAAAGAGACAAGAAGAACTTCAAAGAGTTAAAGAAGAAGCTGAAAGAATTGCAAGAGAAGAAGCAGAAAGACTCAGAAAAGAGGAAGAAGAAAGAAAAAGACAAGAAGAAGAGGAAAAGAAGAGACAAGAAGAGGAAGAAAAGAAGAGGCAAGAAGAAGAGGAAAAGAAGAGACGAGAGGAAGAAGAAAAGAAGAGATTAGAAGAGGAAGAAAGGAAGAAGAGAGAAGAAGAAGCGAAGAAGAATCAATCAAGTAGTTCTACACCTCCAGATAATGATAATATTCCAACTGCTTCAGCTGTTCCTAATCCAGAAGATTCTAATGACAATCAGAGCAAGAAGAAAGTAATAATTGCTTCAAGTGCTGCTGCAGTAGTTGTTGTTTTGGTTGTTGTTGCAGTTGTTGCTGCAATTTTCATTACAAAGTCACTCAAACACAAAAATTACAAATCCGAATCAGATGATGAAGGTGGATTTGATGTATAATCCAATATTTTTATGTTTTTTTAGTTTGTAAAAAAAGCATTTTTTTTAATTTTTATTTTCAAACAATTAAATATACAAAACAAATTTAAATTTAGAAGTCCATATTATTCATGTAATTATCATCTTCATCAAAATCATTATCATTATTGACTGTTTCAATTGTGTTATCAATATCAGTGATATTAGCTCTTGTTGGCTCATTATCATCGCTAAAATCTGTTTCTTGTGTTTCAGAGGATAATGAATCTTCAGAAGCTTCATTCCTTGAATGTCTGTATAGGAATAAACCAATAATTGCAAGACAAAATAGCATAAACATTGAAAATACTGCAATAAGAATGAGTTGAGTGCTTGTTAAACCTCCAACTCTTACATCAACAGCCATTTCGACAAAAGTAATAATTGTTTCTGTATAGTATGTCTTTGAAGCTTCAAGTATCGTTGTTCTTACAATTATATATGTCGTATTTATCTGTCTCTGGTCGATATATGTCGTGGATGTTGTATTTACTTCTTTTTCAACCATTGTGTCTGTTTCTTTAACAACAGACATGTTTCAGCGGGCGTTGTAAAGACTGTTTCTTTGTTTGTTAGTGCAGGTGTTTCATGAGCTGTTTCTTTGTTTGTTACAAATGGTGTTAAATATGGTGTTTCTTCTGCAGTAGTGACAGGAGTGCTAAATTCTGTAATAAATGGTGTTGCAAAGTATGTTTGTGAAACTACTCTTGTATAATTATACAATTGTAAACGTTAAATATGTTTGAGTATGGATTTTGTGTATATTTAAAAGATTGTGTTGTAGGTTTTATTAATCGAGTTATTGGTGTTGCAACGTATGTATATTCTGTAGGTTCCGAAACCTGACTTGTATTTGAAATTGTTTCAGTTGTACTGATATATTTAACGGTATTAACAGTGTTATCGATAGTTAATGTACCATCAATGTCACTATCACATCGTATTTCTCTATTCATTGAGAATAATCCAAAATTGAAATCTCGATTAAAGTCATTTGTATTAAATTGCTTTGCGAATGAGTTTTCGAAATCATATGTATAATCGTCAATGGAGTTCCATGACACCTTTCCAAAAAATAAGATTTCATTTCCTGGACTTGTGCTGTTTCCAAAGACATAAGAGTTATTTCCAGCAGAATTTTGTATAAAACAACATTTTTGCGTGGAAAGGTGACTCATAAATTGACTATCTGAATTTTGATTTATAACTTCGCCAAAATACAGCGCTCCACCTCCACGAGGCATGTAATTTGGAGGTGACAAGTTGGTATTGTTACTAAAGTTTGTTAAAATGTTCACCTTTAGAGAATTATGAATAAATTTTGAGTCGACTATCTGAACATGGGGATTGTTAAGTAATTCAAGAGCGCCACCACCATATGTGGCCGAATTTCCTTTGAAAGTACAGTCATCTATGAAGACATCTTTGTTAAAAATAATTGACATAGCACCACCAGTATTCCCGCAGCTATTATCTTCAAAAGTTGAAGATATACAAACAAATTGTAGGTTGTTCGCCAAATCATTTCCTTGTATTATGCATGCTCCCGAATAACGGAATGCAAAATTATTCGTAAATTGGCTTTGTTGTATTGCAAATGACGAACTTATACTGCATACTGCCCCTCCCGACTCGGCAACATTACTAATAAATCTGTTTTGCTGATCCATGATCATTGAAGTAGAGGCTAAAATTGCTCCTCCATTTCCTGAGTTGATTCCTGCACCAAAGGCGTAGTTTTCTGTAAAATTGGAGGTTGAAATTTGGATAGAACTAAAATAATATTCTAATTGTCGTTTAATCTTATCAATATTAGTATTAATTGATAATTGCACTTTATATTTTGATAATACTTCTTCTTCATCACTGTCAAAATGCCTGACAAATGCAGAATCGAGGATATCTTGTTTTAAATTTAAACAGAAATTGGTGGTTGGCTTTGAATGCATGAGATAATATCTTACAGGTTTAATAACTAACACTGTCTTTGAAAGAAAAAAGAAGATAATCAATAAAAGCATCTTTATATTCTCAAAATAATTCAATTGATTGAATTATTGATAATATTCTCAATTTTTGATTGTTTCGTAAAAGTTTTTGTAAGTACGTTAGACTTAGCAATCAATTTTTAATGAAAATTTGAAACTTAGAAAGTTCCATCAAATTAAAACCTTAAAAGTAAAGTCTGACTAATATCAAACTCGTGTATTTGATAAAATATCTAACTTTGAGCTTAATTCTTTATAGGTACAAAAAATGCCAAAACTCTCTTCAGAATTTTAATTGTCACTTTTTGATGGTTAAGTAATACATCTATATTTCCATCTATTTATGAAGATTTTTTGTTTGATATTTTCAGAAGTTTACGATTTTGGGAAGATATATATTTTAAATACATATCATATAAAGTATTCGAATTTTTTTTTGAATCTGACTAATACAGATCCAATGATTTTTCATTTTGATAAAATAAAAATTTAATCAAAATCTTTTACATTTAACAAGACAGACAATTGTTGCTGTTGTTCTACGGTAAAGTTTTAAAATTTAGGAAGTCAAATCTGAGAGTCCAATCAAAAGCATCATACTAGCCCTATTTAATAACATAAGGTATATTACCATTAGGGCTGTACAAGATTTAAAAAAACATTGCCGGGTTACCGTAGAGGCCTAAAAAAATCGCGCCTCGGCGGCAAGCCGCCTCGGCATTAAGAATGCGCATCTAAATTTTTATATGTCCTTCTTTCTTTTATTTTTCCCTTCCCTTCCTTTTCTTTTTCTTTTTTTCCCTCCTCTTGCTCTCATTTACCTTTTTTTCCTTTTCTCATCATTTTTCAAAATTTAAAATTTTTATCAAAAATCTTGCCTATAAAAGCAGATTATGGAACCTTTTAATGCCTCTTAATCAATATTATACAGCATAAAGCATATTAAATGAAAGTAATTACGTATAAATTTATTTTATTATCTTATTTATTAATTCTTTAGCATGTATTGTTTAATATTAACTTTTCTGTACATTAAATATGATATCTCCAAAGTATGAATGCCTTGTAACGAAACGAAAACTTAATTTTATGTTGAATATTTGTCACAAACATTAGATTATTAAAATATATGTTGGATATCCCTTAGTATGAGACTTCATGACTCTTGTTGTCTAACGTGAGCTTTGGATTGCAAGCTTGCTACAGCACATAAGTATTCTGTGGTTAAAAAAACCACATGAGCTTTAAAAACTATAAAACCAAAAATAATTGTTATAATTTAAATGAAGAAGTAATTTAAAACGATTTTATTTATGATCAAATTTTATATATTTTTTTGGATCAAATCCATTTTAATAGAATTTATATACTATTCATCTATTAGTAAACACTACCGTATATTATTTTTTAAGCTATCTTATTTTTTGAACTTTTATTCAAATCTTTGGTCGCAAGAAGAATTGCATGATAAATAAAAACATTTAATCAAAGTCAATTTTATTTTTCATATTCAAATGGACTGAGTGTTAACATTTAACATTTTTTGCTAATTGTCGTCAAAAATTAGGCGTAAAGCAAAAATTAATATTTCATATGGTTTTATGATAGATAAGCATTATATTTCCACTCATTATATTCGTAAATTTTGAGGTTTATCCTTCGCTTTTAAGATCATTGAATTTGATTTTTATATAAAATAGTTATATATTAGAAAATAATATGAGTTTATGTGATATTATTTTTCAGAAGATTTCATTCTATATGCCTATGAAAAGTACTCTCAAAACTAACTTTTCCTAATTATAATTAAATCTAGAATATTGTATTATGCTTAGTATTATTTCATTTTTCTCATTCAATTTAGAATTTACAAATGTCAAAAAATTGAGAGCTGTCACTTTTGATGAATTTCTGTTTATTACAGCATTGTTATTAATAATGAAAAATAAAGCTTATTTCAATGAAAATTGTTCTGCAAATTTATTTCACTTTTGACCTCACTTTTTCCGTAATTCAATTTTTTACTTTTAATATTTTAGATCTTCATAATATCATTTGAAAAATTAACCATATAAAAAAATCAAGTTATCAATTCACTTTTTCCGTAATTCAAAAATCAAAAATATAAATAATATATCTTTTTATCAAATATTATTATTATATTCTATGAAAAATGAGGTCCGGAAATTTTGCGGATTCCCGTAACTCAATTTTACGGAAAAAGTGCAGTAAACTATTCAAAATACGGAAAAATTGGTGTAAACTAATGATTTTACGGTAAAATCACGGAAAGTCCCGGAAGAATATATGTGCCTATATGAAATTATACAAAAATGAATCAAACGCATTTTAAAAGATTGTTCTTGTATTATAAATGCTATTCGCAGATTTATTAGTTGAAGAAAATTACCAAATTTTTGCCGATTTACAAAAAATGATTTACAAAGCATATTTTTATAAGGCTTTAAAAATCTTTAAAATGTGACCGGTGACGGAAATCCATGGTAACCAACCGCGGTTCCCGTTTGGAATGACATAATTACCATGCTTCAAAGTGGAGAAAGTACTTAATCCAGTTGTAATTTAGACAAATTATTAGTAGTATATGATGCGGGTTGTGTGACTTTTTTTGTAATCGTAAGAATTCTCACATAATTGAATGATTTTTGAACATACTTCCGAATAGCAGATTTTAAAAATTTATGAATAATTTATAAAAAGTTTTTATTCCTACAATTCCTATATTACCATTAATAAAAAGAATATATTTTTGACGAAGTGAAGATTCGCACTTCGTCACAAAACTCCGAAAAAATAAAGTTAGATTTTTTTATTTAATATAAAATGTATGGAAAAAGAATAATATCTGATTTTGAACATTATTTGATTGATTTACTAATTGATCCACAAAGCTGTTGTAAAATTAATTTTGAATTTAAAATTAAAGGAACCGTAAATTTTGTATTTATTTATCACTTAAAAGAATATGACCGATATCATAATTTGATATATGAAACTAATATAATATTTGAAGATAACAAACTTACAAGCTTCGAACATGAAAATGATATAATATTCGAAGATGAAAAAAAGAAAGAGATTGAAAAGCAATTCAATGAATGCCTTTTAAATACATATGCGCACATTATAAGACATAAAATAAATTATATTTTTTAAATAAAAAAATAATTTTTATCTGATAGAAATAATACCTACAAATGACGGTATATAAAAAATTGACTTCTTACGTAAAATTAAAACTAAGTTAAATTTATTTTTTTTATTTTTATTTTATAATAAATGAGTATAACAACTAATTCATTGAAATCTTTAAAGTTCACTAATTCAGAATTAGAAAATATTTTAGAAAATTTTGGAGACGGTTCTTATCCAACATATATGCAGAATGTGAAAGAGTTTTCCAGATTGTTGAATGAATTTAAATATAACGGACCAATTACTAAAAAGGCTATAATGAGATATTTATATCCCAAAAAAGTTGAAAAACAGGAGAATATTCCTCTTTATGGTCCAGAGGACCTGGGCTCAGAGAGCCTTGAAACACCTCCTGAATATTTTGAAGAAAAAATTAAACAAGATGAATATTATAACGATGAGATTGAGAAATTGGAACAATTAAGAAATGAAATAGATGAAAGAATTAGTGAATTGAGAAATGCTGAGAATGAAGTAGAGGGTTTAATGAATATCCCAGCTTCAGAATCAGAAGTTCAAAAATCACATGAGGAAAGATATAAAAATTACTTTTTGGAATCTACTAAAAATTTATTAGATGGTGATATTGACGAAACACTTTCAGAAGAAGGCACAAAATTTATTCATAAACATAAGCTTCAGTTTATTGACGATGGAGATTATCCATGTATATTACTTTCACCTCCTCTTGATTCTGAAAAATTCAAAAAAGCACTGAAAAATGTAACATATGCAACAAATACGATTAAGAAAGAAGACCATGATATTTACACAAATTATTATTTAAATAAATGTACAGGTGTTGATAAAGTTTTTGATTTGTTAGATAAAATATCAAAAGAAACAATTGGTACATATAAAATTTTATGCGATTGTGGTTTCATTATTGAAGATACCAATAATGTTTCATATGAAAGAACAGCACCGAAGGAAGACGAAGTGGAAAGGTCTATACCATTCGTTATTAAGAACATAAAAGATATGAAAACTTATAAACATTATATTTATTCATTTATTTCAGAAAAAATGGAAGCAACCCATAAAACATCATCTCATCATTTTATAGCTATTCATACATTCCTTTTCAAAGTTGTGAAATTAAATAAGACAGGAATTAGATTTAATGTATCAGGGTACGCATTCTTGAGTAAATTAAAATGTATTCGTCACGTCGCAGATGATAAAAATTTATGTGTTCTTAATTCATTTTATGGACTTTAGCCCTGGACTCTCTGAGTCTCGGACTTTAAAAAAAATAAACTTTATTTTTATTTATTTTTTAATTTTTATTCTTACATAAATGAACAAAAATGGAACAGCTAAAATGAATGATAATCAAATAAGAGCCGAAGGTAGAAGGTTATTTAAACGCTTCTATAACATTCCTGATGGTGTTAATCCTAAAACTCGTAGAAGTTATTTAAATGAAGCCATAGATGCATATGAAGGATTTGACATTTCATCAGAAAGTGAGAGGTTAGCAAGAATGTTAAACGTTAATATTGATTTTTATTATTGTGACCCTCAACCAGAAGACGTAGACATTAACAAGGTAGACTTTCCATTAGTGGAATCAATAATGATAGATCCAGAATTTGAAACAGTAAATATTTTATTAACACAGAGTCCATGTGGAAAACTTCACGCTGACAGAATTACAGACGTTGAAGCACTCACAGGATATAAAGTTTGCCCCTTTTGCAAAGAAGAAGTATATTCTATCCGTGATGATCCAGAAAGGAAAA